TGGTCCTTTTTTTATGCTGAACGGAACTGAACGGCTCCTTGATCCGCTGGGAGTGCCACGCTGTCAATATGGATTTTATGGGTTTGTGTGGGAGAGTGGGTTACTTTTTTTTATGAACACTTGAGCGTATTCAAGTTCGCAGTGTGTTTTGAATGGGATTCGGGCGGGCCACCGAAACAAACAACAAACGACTTGGACAAGTGGCAAATGCATTTTATTTGCAACATGTTTTATGTGAGTGCAAAAAAATTGTGGGGGTTAAAGGTGAAGTCAAGTGCTCACCGAAGCTCCAAAGCATTTTTAAAGTGGCAAACTAATTGAAAAAAAATTGGAAAACTAAAGGCCGAAAGACTATGAAAAATAAAATATATTTATTTATTTATTATTTATTTTTTTGAAAAAATATTATTTTAAACAAAGAAAAGAGATCAAAAGCAATCTTTAAGTGTCAAAAAACTAAAATCCTCAGGAAGGTCTCTATTTTTATCCAAAATCTGACTCTGTTCGAATAGTTTTCTCATTTTTCAAGGCTACTGGGAAATGTATTGATTAACAAAATTCCAACAAAGACAATCGGTAATTGGATCTGGTATTGGGTATTGGATCTAGCTCGTCAATTTTTATTTATATATATCGAGGAAATTTAAAAGCATTTCCTCCAAGGTTTCATAATTTAAGCACCTGTGGTGGGGTAAGTCCTTCCACCAGGTAAGCCAGCTGCAAAGAAATGAGCTCCGCTCGTGTGGCTGAAAAGTGAGCTGCCAATAAAAAAGATTAAAATGCAGCCATAAAATACACGATTTTATACACATTGCCTTAATGAAAAGCTCCTGGAGTAAAGCAGGAAGACCCATCCCACAAGCCCCATCCCACCGGATTTAACCCCCGCAAAAACCGAATTTCATGCTTAAGCTCTGTAAAATTAACATTTAATTGAAGCCTACAACTCAGTGCCTTCAACAGTGCCGAAAAGCGACGGTCCCAGGAAGACGGGCAAATCCTGCTTAAGTGGGCAAAATGGAGGATGGGATACTGCAGGTCCCAGGACACTCCCATATACATTTTGAAACACAAAGCACAAGTGCAGCGGCCCGGGGAGCCAAGGGAGTGCATGTTTTGATAGCGTAAATTATGTTATAAAATTTATTTAATTTCACTTTTCTGCTCTCAGTGGCCTGAACGTTTTGTTGCCCTGACACTGGCCTGGCCCTCGGAATGTGAGTCTCACATGCAAAAAGGAGTTGTCCTCACCCCACCTTCCACCCCATGGTCCTTTACCTGACGCACTCACATATGTACTTTCCACCGACCGTTCCGTGTCCCATCCCCTGTGTTTGCCCAAAAAACGAACACAGACATATCCATATCAACTGGCAGTGGAGTGAAAAGTCCCTGGTGTATTGCAAATTGTGCAGGGTTGCCCTTCTCCTGCCCCAAAATCCTTCCCCGGCTCCTGGTCCCTTTTTGGTCCAACGTTGCGTGCCCAGTGCGCATATTTATGTAAGCAAGCCAGAGAACACGCTCGAATTTTTGGTAGTCGTTTGTAGAAACACCAAAAGAAAATTATACATCTACACGATATTTTTAATTTATTAAATTAATTAATGAAAAACCTCTTTACAAACTAAGACAATAAACAAACAGAATAAGAAAGGATTCGTTTGAAAATTTTTATAAAATCCATAAACCCATAGGTTGTAAAATATACCATTGACATTTTCAAGAAAGCCTTTATTACAGTCTTGAAAAAGTATTTTGATAACCAATTTTTTGCAGTGTTGAGCCCACAATGAAATGGAAAGCGCGACCAGAAACAGCAGTAAACGGAGGAACAGCAGTAGCCCCAGAGTGTAGCCACGACGAGCAAATACCACCCGTGTGCATGGGGCTGTGTGTTTTCCACGGCGGATTCTTGGGGCACCTGCAACGCAGTCGACTCCCCGGCTGACAGGCCGGCTTAAACGACCCGTGGCTGGTTAAATAATTAAACACCAATGACACTTAAACGTAAATCATGAATTTTGCAAGCAGCCCAAGGCAGCAGCAGTTCCTCGATGAAACATTAACCAAATGGCGACCCTTTCAAATCGGGCCAAAACCTTCCCGGGGACACTCTGGCCATTTGTCTGGCCATAAAGAGCGAAGGAGAAGCTGAAGAACAGGAACGAGCCGGATCGGATCGGATGGGAGGAGGAACTGTCAGCGCCGGCGGAAACAACACCCAAAAAATTACTGTTGCAAAATGCTGTACAAGTTTCCGTCTCCGAGTCCGAGGCTTCCTGTAACAACTACAATAGGAACAAAAATAAAATGTTGCCTGAAGTCTTTGGACTATGATATGCTTCTTTAGCCATTCAAAAAAGTTGACAATAAACTGAGAAGAATAAGATACATAGGTTCTATAATATTCTTTGTATATGTCACATTGGGCAATGTGTTTCTCACGGTCAATCGTTAGAAATTCATGTATTTCCAGGCTAAGTTTAGAAAGCAAATCAAACAGTTAACTCGTTCTTGTAGAAATAGAATTATCCCAATATACCCTATATTTCTTCTATTAACAGGGTATAACAAGGAGCTCTAAAACTAACACTAACACCAACAAATCCCCAGCTGCTGAGCTCGTCCAACATTCTGGAATCCGGAGCAAAGGCAGCTAGAATGGCAAGAACTATGGCCAACAATTTGTTGCCTCAGACGACAAGTTGGGAAAAATTGGGGAGCAGCGGCAGTGGCAGTCGCAGGAGCAGGATGAAGGAAGTACAAAGTCAATGTCGGGATGCCAGCAGAGTTGTCAACGCGCTTAAAGTTGCCTTAATTGCAGCACTGTTGTTGCTGTTCCTTGGTCCTTTTCCTGTTGCTCCTGCCTGCACTTTTTATGGCAGCCATGTCACAGGCGACAGTCGACAGTTGTCGTCAGCGGTGGGGCATGCATAAAATATGCCACATACTCCGTGGCTCTGTGAAAGAAAGACACGAACTTCCCTGGAAGGAGAAAATTGGGACTGACGACATATTTTCCTTTCAGTTTCAGGCTGTTAATTATTATTATAGACGTGTGAGTGTCCGCCGGCTGCCCGTCTGGGCTGCCGAATGGCAAACTCAAACGGCACCCGGCCATCGAAGGATTGAGAGGTCGGGCGGGTCGGCGCCCAACCGACCACATGCAATAAAACAGCACTTAGACATGGACACTGACAAAGGCCTACACTGAGAGAAAACTATTTTAACTTTGAAGAAAATCGTTAAAACTTAAGGTTCAGGTCGCGACTAAAGTTTCTTCATTAAATTTTAAATAAAATCTTCACGATTTTCAAAAATAAAACATTTTTTTATTTGACCGTGTTTTTTTATTTCTTTCAGTGCATTTCCAAAAACAACCACAAGCGGGGGGACAGAGACGTCAGCGTCTGTCCGCCCAAAGAGTAGAACGGTGCACCGGGGAATACTTTGCCAAATTGCACAATCTACTCTGTCTCCTGCCCCGGACTCCCCTTCTCCTGTCAGAGGACTTTCCCCATGTCCAGGACCTCCTGGTCTTGCCAGACTCGTCTGGCAGTCAAACAGGAGCTGTGGAAACAGAAGCAGTCACTTTGGCCACTCATTTGCCTACTCGGCTACTACCACTTTCCATGCTTGGGAGGCCATCCTACAAATTTTAAGGCCTCTCCTTAGTTCATAAAACTTGAATACTGCCAGTATTTTGTTAGCCTTAGATTTGAATCAATGATGTTTTTGGCCATTTGATAGAAAAGCACAACAAAAAAGCCAATTACAAGGATTTTGTGTCAACAGATCCCTTTTGAAACGTCACATTTTATTGCAATGGACATCTTTTATTGGAGTTCATTATATTTTGTTGATTTTCGGTAGGCAAGAGGTGCGTTCTGATATTTAGTTTTACCGTATGATGGAGGTTAACGTCTTAATTTGAGGAAAACTCATTTTTGTAAAGTAGACAGACAAAGTAAATTTTTTTTTAAAAGAAAATATTATAACATCTCCATTATAACGATTTCTGAAAGATAACCTGAAAGATTTTCTTTTAAAACACCATTAGCTCTTAGTTTACTTTACAGTTTAAGCTATAGTTAAACTTAACCAATTATTGAGATTACGGAAATCAGAATTACCCTGAAATCTCTAACCAATATTGTTTATCTCTATGGCTGTAAATGAGTAAAAACAAGAAACCAAGTCTTTGACAGGCTGACAATTTTTATTGAAACTTGTTGAACTTTTTCCGGTAATTGTTTGCCTTCTGGGCATTGTTTATATTTTGTCTTGTTTGTGTCCTGCTCGGGTGTCTGTGTGTCTCGAGTGTGTGTGGTTGTGGTGACAAAGCCAAGTTAAGTAGTTGGCCGCCAGCTTATCGCAAGTCGTTCGAAAGACATTATTCTTGGTTCGCTTTTGTCCGGCGATTACTTGCCTCGGGCGCCAGGTGCGCTAATCGCCGGCTGAGCCGGCCAAGTTGACCGGATCGGACTGGCGAGGAATTGGATCCAATTCCAAGACGATGACTTTGGGTCTTGGTGTCTCGTTGTTTCAGTGCCTCGGTGGCCAAAAGTCGGCTAATTAGCCAAGCACTTTGTCTTGGGCCAGTTAATTAGCGGGCTCTAATGCAGAGCTCCGCGCACATACAAATTGTTGGCGGGGACAATTGCATTCCAGTTGCGCAGCAGGAACGGGCGCCAATTAAAGTTGGCAGCAGCCTGGGAATCGGAGTTGGAGCCATAGTTCGCAACGGCGACGGCGGCGGCATTGGCGGCATTCGCATCATCCAAAAGTTTGGCGAGCATATTTAAACTTTTTCGCCATCACCCGAGCAGCACCCAGTAGTACCGCCATTGTTGGTCGTTCGTTCGTTGTTGGATTTTATGTGTATAATTTTAATTCCATTAAAATTTGCGAAACACATGCGGGGCAGTCGTGCGGGGGGGTGGAGCAGAGAGAGAGAGGCAATGTCACATTTAAAATATTTTTATTGCTAATACTTTTTTTTTGATTTTTTTTGTTTTTGTGTTGTGTTGGGCTTTTTCGTTGTGCACTACGCTAATTAAATGTGTAAATTGTTGGAGTTTTTAATTAAATGCGACAAATGTCTACAAAAATTAAGCGGAGCTGGCAAGGACAACAAAAGGATTGGCTGGCACCCATTGTCCTGTTGATGTCGCCTGGGTATTTTAGCTTACGACAAAAGCTCGTCAACTCTTTCTAGTTCACTGCAAAAAAGGCGGCAAATCAAATCAGCGAAAAGCGAGTGCAGAGCGTGGGAGGAAAACGAAAATGGCAACAATTTTGTAAACTTTTCTGGTTGAGAGGGTTGGAGGTGCAAGGCTCAAGGACAATACATGCATTTCGTAAAGTAAATAAAATGTAAATAAAATAATAAAGTAATCGTAAGTCGTTGAGGCGAAGACAGTGAGCTGGAATCAATTTCTGGGGGCAGGCACAAAACTTAACTATTCCTCCTTGTTCTCCACGGCAGGGACCTCCCAGTAATGCTCGTCCTGGTGGTGTTCGTCCTTCTTCAGATTCCGGAAGCTGGCGTACTTCAAAACGGCTCCTTTTTGATTTAAGAATAAGTAAGGATAGTGAACTCATTAACTGGTTACATATACGAGTACAAACCTGTTAAAATGCCTCCACCGATGGCAATGAGAAGGGTCACAGCAATGCCAAACAACTGGTAGCCTGCCTGGGAACTGGCATTTCGGCCAAGACCCTGCGGAAAAAATGCATTAGTATATGAGATCAAAGATGCACTCAGGAAACTTACGCCCATGATTTTGGTATCAGTTCCGTTGGTGCCAACCATGGCCGGAAAAATGTCCTGCAGCTCCGATCGATAGTCACCCGAGGTGGCCATGGAGGCGTAAATGGCCGAGGCAATGGCGGAAATAAGGGCCGGCATTCCGTGCAGATTGTGCACGCCACAGGTGTCGTGCAGCCGCAGATTGGCAGTCATCCAGGGCTGAAAAACAACACAATGCAAATAATTTAACAAAAAGCTGTCAATGGAAAATGAATCCTCTATTTTCTGATAAAGCTATTGTTAGCGACATACTATAATTGGAATACGATTCACCGATTTATCCCTTTCCAATTGTTTTTATTCAAAAAATAAATATCTTAAAGCTGTAATAAAGTAATATTAATGGGAGGTATTTTCCTAATAGAAGTATCACAGCATAGAACCATTTCCAAATGACTTTAATTTTTTTAAAGTTATGCGAGTGCTTGTAGAGTTCAAAAAATGTATTAGAGCTGCAGGTAAAAGGACATCCACCTACACGGAATTTTATTTTGCGTGGCTGTAATGCAAATGGCAATCCGGCCTGGTTCCAGGGCGATGTCCCTGTCCGGAATAAAATCCTGCTACGGCTGCGGCTGACCGGCGGGCAACAAACTTTACTCATTAGCGTCGCATTTTTCCTGGGCGCACTAATTAAAGTGAAGCCCCAGCCAGATAGTTCTAGTTCAACATCCTATTCCCCCCCAAAAATTTTCGTTCACCGCGAATCCAATCCAGGACTACTGGCATATGAATAGACGCTAACTTTGGCAGGGAGTGCGTTGGAAGTTTTTTTTACCCTATCCCTAAAAGTTGTTAGTGTTCTAGGTGGGGTATATTTTATAAAATAAATAATACTCAATAATAAATTACAATATAAAATAAAAAAATATACATTTTACGAATTTCTTAATATGTGTAATAATATTTATAAAAGTATCTTAAGAATACTAAGGACTGGGAATCCCGCCAAACTTACTGTTAAATAGCGATAGCCGAGTACCGAGACCGTGCCGGCGATAATGCCAATTAAGACGGCTCCATGGGCGCCGAGCAGCAAGTTACACACCGTGCCCACAGCCACGCCCCCGGCAAGAGTCGAGTTCTGCACGTGCACCATGTCCAATTTATTCTCGTGGCTGACAAGCGCGGATACAACGAAGGTGGTCACTGGAACGAAGGATACGCAGCGAAAGGGTGAAAATGGCACGAAAAAGAATGCAGCCGAATAGAGGTGGGAGTCTGTGGTCCTCCGGAGTCCGGAGTCGGGACTCACAGTTATGGTTTCAATTGAAGGCAAGAGTCTATTTTGAATGCTTCCCAGGTGGGATGGTTTAATTACGTGATTTTGATTCATTTTTGAATGAGTTTTAGGCGAGTTCATTAAAATGCAACTGGTTTGCAAAGGTTTCCCCTATTTTTTTGGCTCTTTAAAATGACTTATGTAACTGGTACTTAGGTTAAAGATTTCCTTAGTAATTAATCGATAAGCTATTCAATATTTATCATATAAAGATCAAAGTCTTCAAGTCTATTTCCTCGTAAATATTACGTATACGACCAGTAGCTCATCTGTAACATTCCCTCAATTGAAAGTACATAAGTCCTTCTAAAGAACGATAAACAGATTAAAAACTTTAATTTAACAGGATTAAATCTGAAACAGTCTGTAATGTGAAACTCAGCTTTGTTTATGAATGTGGGCCAACGACACTGACAGCCAGCTTTGCTAATCACTCGGGCAGCAGAAATGACACACCCAACTGGCATGGCCACTGCCTCTGGTCTGAACCACACTTTTGCAATAAACACAAAACTAATAAAAATGTAAACACGACAGTGCCAAGATCCCCCGGATTTCCAGTATTTTCCGGATGGCCCCCAGGGCTTTTCTGATTTTCCGCTGGCCGCAGCGTAGAGCAACACACCGCACCACCCAGTACCACCGAGTACCGCCCAGCACCGCACTACAACAAGGACGCTTCAGTTTATGACCGGCAGCCAGCATAAATCTCGGCTGAATAACACTAAATACTTAAAAATCTCCATTTTATGGCGGAGCATATGTTGCAGCCATAATAATTTGCATAAATTAGTTGAGGGCAGGCGTCGGTTGGCCACTGCAAATAAGTAAGGCAAATCTCAACCAGATGGAGTGGGGGGGCAGGAGGCATGTGGTACGAACCGCAACAATTTCAAAACAGCTTTTGACGTTGTTCGGGCGACACAAAACAACGAGGACAGCAAATTCTGGCTTAAAAATCAATTAAACAGCTTTTTTACAGCCCTCATTCTCGTCCTCGTCCTCATCCTCGTCCACGTTCTTGTCCTTTCCCAGCTCGAGGACTAAACCAAAGCCAAGCCAACGGCATATCCGAGATTCAGGATTTCCACTTGTTTGTGCTGGCTTTTGTTTCTGTTTTTGTTTTTGTTCTTGGATCTTGGTCCTGCTTCTGCTGCTCGAACATTAAACAATTTAAATTAACGCCAATGGTGTCACTTGCGACTGTAAAATGTGTTTTGTGCTTAACGTTGTTGGCCAATGCGGGCAGCCTCCGTCCTCGGTGTCGCCCCTCATTTTGCGTTGCCCCGAAAAAGCCGCCTGGCTGACCAGACCGGAGTTCTAACCAGACCCAAACCTAAAACAGACACTGAGAAAAAACTTTTAATCTTGAACAAATATTCTACCTTTAAAAGACCAATAAATAAACTCTATATAATGCACTACTTCATACTAGTTTTTAATTATTTTTTAAAATCTAGTTAAAGTAAATAATTATGTTTTAGTTTTTAAGTTTTTTCTCTGCTTTCCCAGGAGAAGGCCCAGACGACTCCCCGGCTCATTTTGTGCCTGGTGTGAAAACAACAACTGGGGCGTATTTTTGCTGTTGGCGCCGCATTCGGACACCAAATGGCGTCGTCTGATCCACCCTGCCATCCTCCTGCCGCCTGCTGTCTCCTAGCCAGACCATGCATGTCCGCCCGCATGGCCGACATGGCCGACATGGGACCGTGGACCACACCCACCAGACCGCCTCTAATTTCAGCATCGAACTGAATCCCAGCTTTAGTTTAATTAAGGCAACAACTAGTGAGCCAAGCAACCGGCCACTGAATGGATGACGGGTGTGGGGTCTGTGAGGGGGGAAAAGTACATTGCAACATACGGGGGGCACTGAAACGCCGCACGTTGACTCAACTAATCGCACATCCTTCCGAATAAAATGCTCCGACAGGCCTCCACTTTCCCTCTCCACCTCTAGTACCTCCAGTGGATACTCTACGATATCTATTTATGGGATGGGGTCATCCCGTTCTGCAGCAGAGATTGGAATCCATTGATTAAGTTTCATCTGGTCAAAGATAAATTTGCACTAAATTTGAATATGCACTCAGTTGAGAGTAGAATTCATGACTCAATTGGCCGAGCAAGAAAAAACTTTTTTCGGAAAAGGAAAAAACGCAAATGCAGTGCATGTTTTTCTAAAAATATTGAGAAGTTAAATTATTCAAATAAAGTCTCCGGCAAACAAGTATTAATTTTTGAAAATAAATCTTGAAATTGAGAAAAATCAGAAGCCAACAGGAATTAGAAAATCAAAACCTTCCTGTCTGTGCTGAGTAACTTTGTCATATTTAGTTTTATATTTTTATAAAAATAAAGAGTAGCTTCCTTTCGACCATGGTTTCCCCTTTCATCCACCCTACTTATGTGCCTTTTTAGGTGCTGCCTACACTGATGTTACGTGAGGGCTTTAATACCATGGCCAGAAGAGCAGAGCCAAATGGCCAGAACACAAAAGCTCTGGCCACAGCTAGCCAAGTGTCGCCGTCCTCTACTTGGCTTATCTCAGCTGCTGGCCTTACTATTATTACCGCTTTTGCTGTTGTTGCCGCTGCTGCTGGGTATCCTTTGTATACATTTAATTTGTGTTTTGTTATTTACATTAACCGAGCGAGTCAACCAAGGCAGATCCCGACCCCAGACCGGAATCCCTGAGCCCTGACCAAGGGATGTGGTGCTGCTTTTAGCACATTTTCTATGTGTGAGCTGGACTGGGGCCTGGTCCTCTATTCGATATGGCTAAGCAAATGCCGGACAGGCTGACCCACACTCACGCCATTCGGTTCGTTTTTATGTGTGCTACGTGCTCAAAATAAATTTTCAAATGTGTTAACGAAACTATTTGACATTTAATTAGTTTGTGAGACGCATGCACAAGGACCTAAAGGAGCTGGCAGGACCATGGCTCTGGGCCTTTTCAATTTCATCGGTAGCCGTGCTAATAGGCCCGCCAACATTATAATTAACAAAGCTAGCGGGAGGAATGCCCTCGCCGAGCGTGAAGATATGCGCAAGTATTAGTGGACCAAGACAGCCCGAAGGATGTGAGGGGCGGGGCACGGAGTATGTCCTCCAGCTGTCCTCCACTTGAGTCTTGGCTAATTGCCGGGGCACGTGACTCACCTGTTGCCGCGGCTAATGACAAGAACGTGTTCAAAATGGCTCGCTCGCCGCCGGCTCCAGCCGCCAGCACCGAGTTGAAGCTGGGCCAGTACACCCACAGGAAGGTGGTGCCAATCATGGCGAATATGTCCGATGTATAGCTGGCGCCCTCCAGCTTTCCGGCCTCGTTTTGGTCACTCGAGGGGCGCAGCATCAGGGCCACCGCCAGGCCAAAGTAGGCGCCGAAGGCATGCACTGTGATGGAGCCACCGCAGTCGCAAATCTGTATTAGAGAGAATTATACATTATTAGATGACTTTAAATTATAACCCTTTAATAAAAACAAATAAGCTTGAACAATGTATAAAAAATTAATTTATTCAATATCCTGACTTATTTTTTTGATAAACTAAACGCACAAATAATAAATTCAAAACTACCAAAAAAGTCTTTAAAACTTGACCTATTATAATAGGTATAATAATATATGACCTAACCAATAATTATTGGTCAGAACCAGCCAGCTTTAAAGCTAAACCTCTACAAAAAATAAAAGTAACACTTTGGAATAATTTACGAGGGTAAAAATCATACATCCTGTAACGCATAAAATTAGTGCCAGATATATTGCATTCATGTCTATTTTATTTGCATTTAATATGACCCAGAAGGGCACATAAAATGCGACCTATTTTCACTTATTTTCATGCATAATTTTTTAGGTAAATATTATTATTATTGTCTATTTTTGTTCTTCTCAGTATTTTCATTATTTTAAAGTGGGTAGATAAAACGAATTAGTTGGGAAGCAATTACTTTTATTGGCTTTCAAAAATAAACTCACACTGAAAACGTGCAGAGCCAGATACTCGTTGGCGGCGAACAGAGCCACTTCGAAGATTGACATGCAGAGCAGCTGGATGGGCGTGGTCCTGCCCAGGAGGGCGCCCATGCTAATCAAAGGAACCGCGGCGGCAATATCCGCATCGATGATGTTCTCCAGGGAGAGGCTGTGGACGGGAAAGGACATGGAACCCGATTAGCAAGCCGAGCGACAGGTGACACGCCCCCTACGCATAAAAAATGTCCAAGAAATGGCCGCCAAATGAAATGGAATACATTTTAAAGCGTTTCCATTTGCAATGGTGGTTAATGTTTCCACACGGGAAATAAATATTTTCAATGAAATCGTATTCTGAATATATTGGTAGCTTTTACTTTCACAAAATAATTTACTAGAGAACAGAATTGTATTTAATATTTAAGTCCTTTTTTCCAGACTAACCATTTATTTATAAAAGCTTCCGTATTCCGTATAAGAAATCATTTTCAGTGAACTTTTAAGTCGGATCCATTTACTCGTTTGCTGCTTCGTGTCCTTTGTTTGTCGTTTGACTTTGGCTTGAGATTGTTGCCCATTTCACTTAGAATAAGTACAGGTTGACTTAACTCCCTTCACCGAACCCACACAATCACCGAACCACCCACCCTTGGCTTGACTTCTTCATTTAAAGTAATTGCTTGAATTCATTGCCGGCTCCAGGCCATTTTTCTTCATTTTATTTCTGGAGCTTGTTTGCTTTGCCGACTGTCAGTTTTGGACAGGAGACCGCAAGGCGAAGCAATTAATAAATGGATGTGTCAGTCCTTACCTGATCTTGCCATCCTCCATGTGAAGGAATCCCTTCATCAGTACGGACCACTGCACCACCAGGGCGGCCATGAACAGGGTGAAGCCTGTGGCACTGTAGCCATATTTCCTCAGGAAGGTCATGAGGAAGCCGAAGCCAATGAAGATCATTACCTGGATGTCCTGGAACTCTACGGGGAGGAAGAGCGAAAACGGGTTAGCATCCTAGCTCAGGGCTGGCCATAGGACAGTGAAGAGTGGCCAATGGGGATGCCAATTAATTGAGTCAAGTCGTTTCAATTAACCGCCCAATTGTCTGCTGCCAAAAGTCAATTGCATTGAGATTGATGTCACCCAGGCACCAAGACACCCTGGCCTGGCCAGGCGTTGGCCGGGTCCCCAATGTTGTTTGAACCACCCACTCCATCCACACCACCCTGTCACCCCTGTGGTGCGTGTGTGAGAGTATGTATGTGTGTGTGCCCGCGCGGGTGCAATTAGTGTGAAATACGGTTTAATTTATTTATTATGAATTGCAACAAGTTGTTTACAGACGCATTTGCATAAATTGAAATTAATGACTTTAATTATTCATTTGTGCGAGTGTGTGTGTGCTCCATTGTTCGGAATTCCAGTTCGGTTCGCCTGTAGTATCCGAACATTCTACATATATTCCAGTGGCAGAAAGTAATTAATGGAATTGGTGCCACGGGACCCAAAAGACTGCGGAGACTGTGCGAAAAAGAACTTCATTTATTTATGACCCGCCAACACTTGGCAAACAATACGGGTCCTTCTCCAGGACTTCACTTGCCCATCCCCGCAAAAATAGAGCAGAACTAGGGTGCTCCTGGTGGCATGGGTAATAGCTCTATATGTCATTTGGTATAAAGCTCACTCCAGAGTTTCCATTTTAATTGTTTTCAGCTGCTTTGAAAGGTTTTGTTTTTCAATATGAAAAATTATACATTTTCCAACCGAACGTACTAACTTTTTAGTTTATTTAAAATGTTTATATTAAATAAACAAAATTTTTAGACAAATATGGCTAATTAACCGCATTAAAATAACACAAAACAAACAAAAACACAAACTGCTGAAGGCTTAAAATAAATATATTTGCAAATCTACTCGGTAATTTCGTTGGGGTGAAGCTAAAAATAAAACCTGTTTCCGTCCTAGGGGGTATTTTTTAGGGGCTCTCCCTGTCGGAAGGTGAACATTTTTTTGTTTCGAAACATGAATGTACATTTTCGCATATGAAAGAAAGTGGAAAAAGTGGTTCAGATGCCAGCGGTTGCTAGGCACAGAATTCTGTTATCAAATTCTGTCTAACTAACCATAAATAATTATTTTTAAAATAAACCAAAAATAAAAGCAGACAATAGCTATAAAAAGTTATTTTTGCACATCTGTGGTTAATTCTCGGAGACAAGACTAAGAATAAATATGGAGTGGATGATTCATTTTATTTGATAACAAAATATTAATGGACGAGTTTTTAACTTTCTACAACCCATAAAACATAATCGTTCTTTTTAGCAAAAAAATCTGGAGGAATGAAAGCCAAAATCCCTGCTACTCACGCGGATATTTTGAAACGTGTTCCTTTGCTGATCCAGCGTCTTCGGCATCGATTGCCGGCGGCAGGAGTTCCTTTTCGTAACGCACGAACAGCCAGAATAGGACCAGGAAAATTATTTGCACAATCATCAGGACGACATAGCCCGACACTTTGGCACCCGGCGAATGCATGGCGGCAGGAGGGGTCTCGGTTCTGGTCTCTGAAGCAACAAAAAAATACGGCTCCTGATTGGAGTTCCAGTTAAAGCCGTAGACGGAGTTTTAGATCCAGGCCGCAGACGCTGCAGCACGTGTTCGGCGAATTTAGCAGCCGTAAGTGGCCCGGACAGGAAGTCGCTGTTGCGGACTGGGGCGGAGCTCTCCACAACTGATGTGCAAATATTTGTGCGCTTTTCAGCTGTATCTCATTGGCATTGAAAAGCAGATTTTTACACTCTAACGTTGGTTCACTAAAATTCAGAAATTTGCCATTTAAATTAGAATTGTATTTTTACATGTAAGTAAAAAGATTAAGATAGTTGTCTACATTTATAATTTATATATTTTAGCAAATTTCTGATAGTTTCACTCAAAATTGTTTCTTGTGTTACTGACTATATATCCCCATTCACGATTCCCGATTCGCGATCTACTGCGGTTGAGCACTGGGCGCGCACTGATGCCCGGAGCGATGAGTGCGACGCGTAAGTAGCCGCGACTCGAGTCTGCGGTCAACGGGGCGTATGTGCGATATCCACAGCGATTTGCTCGCATGATATAACTATTTGATTTAATTTGTTACCGCTGCCACTGCTTCTGCTACTGATTCTGCTGCAACTGCTCCAGCTCTTGCTGAATTATTCACAGAGCCCCCACGAGACCGATTCGTTGTGGTTCCATTATATTTAAATTGTTTTTGTTTTTGTTTTTGGCTCGGCTGCATTGCAATTTCAATCCCAATTCCAAATCGTTTTACAAGCTCCGGCCCAGACCTCTTTGCGGTCGTCCCTCCTTCCCGAAAGTCTGGCTTCGGTTTGGTTTGTTTTTTTCGTTGGTCAATTGATTGGTAATTCGTTACAAATTTATCCTCAGACTGCATTTTAGAGTTGTAGCCAAGCGATTTGCATAAACGGCGTTGAATGGACTGAAAGGTGAAAGTGGCTGAGAGTTAAACTTTAATGAATTTCCATTCAGGGTGTTTTTATTGACTCTAGGCCAATCGGTTGAGCCACTTGCTTGGTGCCTTGTGTTGACTGATAAGCCGCAATCACAGTTCTGGTCAAGTGGCACTTACGGCAGTGGGGGTGGGCTAACCAGAAGACAATGCCGGTCGGCTACTGCCGTTGCGACAAGCTATCATTCACTTTCGGCAAAGCCAGTGAAATAATTAACATGCTGTCAGCCGAAACGAGCGGCAGTAAAATAAACTACCGCTCAAGTGGAGCATCTGACTCGATCGCTGATCGCAGATCGCCGCTCATTGATGAGCCCCCTCGGTCGGTGTTTTTGTTTTTTCTTTATTTTTGGAAGCAATTTCAGCTGATTATCAGCCTTTTTTAGTGGTTTAGTGCGAACTTGATGGGCATATAAAAGCGAGACGCTTCGCACGCAAGTGCCAAAAGCTCTGATAGTTTGAAAAAACGAAACGTCAGATGCCCAAGTCAAGCTATTTGCTTAAGTTACTCTATTGTTAATCCCGCAGTGCATTCACTTTATTTAATTGGAGTAACTTGTGCCCTTTTTCTTGCAAAGATTCAAATTCCATAACAAAATCAGAGATACAGAAAGGGTTTTTCGGCTCAAAAGCGGGGAGCATTCAACTAATTGTTAAAGCAAACATCTAAATAAAATTAAACAAAACTCATAAATGCGGCAAGTCGGGGGGCCTGTGCCAAAAACCTACAAAGGCCACTGGGGCGTATGATTGATATTTATTTTTTCAACAAACACAAGCGCACCTGTGTGAAAATTGAAATTCTCATGGTGCTGGCTGGCAACAATAAAAAGGTAAGGCCAAGCAAACCCCTCACATAAGAAGATGTGTGAAGTTTGTGCAAAAACCGCAAATGTTGCCAGGCACGCGCTCGGATCTTGAAAATCCTCACACACACACCCACAGATACAAATACAAAGAAAGAAAGCAGATAAAGGAGAGAAAGCACAGAAACGAGAGGCAACCCCAGGTCGAGGGGAAAGGTAGTACATCAGAGCAATTTCTTGTTGCCTACTTGGGAGGGAAATTTGCATCCGCAATCACTTTAAATGTTTCCGTTTGAATACGCAAATAAATCGAAAAGGATTTCCAATGAATGCTTATGAGTGTCCTGGAAAACCCTTGTTAATGTTGTTGTTTACAACAAGTGTACATGTCTAAATCCCCGAATACCAGGAAGATACACATCCCGACACACAGCACACACCACACGGAGAGGCAGTAAAAAAAGTTTGATAACATTGTGAAGCGGCTGCCAAACTGTCAGCTAACAGTCCAAAGCTTCAACCACAAGTGCTCCACCCAGCTCACATCCCACGACCCTGGACTCGGAACCCAGATCCGGCCAAGTTGCGGCCAGTTGGGGTCAGGCCGAAATACGAGTCGGGGCCAGTGGAGGCTGAGCCATAAATAAATATGAGCCACTGTTGTCAGACAACGGCACAACAACGTTGACGATATGTTGATAAACTTTAACACCCCACAAACACTCGCATAAACTGCAGCCAAGTGCCTGCTCCTCCGAGAACTGCAAGCGCCGGGACTCCCGCCCGTCGGAGGTCCTCCGGCTGACCCAGCATAACAATTGCAGGAGTACGGCTCTCTGACCATATGCAAAGTGTTTGCATTCCCATTTGGGGCGAAAGTCCTTTCGGGAACATAGTCGGCGTGCAGGACTCTTTTGTGTGGCTTTGCTGTGCCAGTCCAAATATCCTTAGAGGTATCCTAGTTGGCTGGATGGCACAGTGAGAAAATGAAATCCAGATTCCAGAAATATAATCTTTTTCTAAAAAGATATATGTACATATCTACAAAGATAGCTTCTGATTTAATTTTTAGATTGCAAATAAAATATTTTATTTTAAAACTGCAGTCTGGATTATTTTTCTTTTGTGCAACATTCTTGTGTTGCTTCCGTTGTACAATTTTTGGCTGCCGTTGCACTCGTGTGCTTGTGTGTGGCTCTGCCACCGTGGGTGGTGCGGCTCTTGCCTCCTCGGTTGCGGGTGGTTGCGCCTAAGCGATTCGCTTTTTGTCTGTTTTATGTCAATTTTGGAATCCGCTTTGGTTACGCCACTCGACTCCTTCCCCGGCCCTTTCGTCCCTTCGTACTTTCGCTTCCGTCCCACCACCCCGACGGGCCCCACGGCGGCGTGTCGCTATGGAAAAGCTTCTGGTTGCGCCAATTGTTGGCATTTACAGCTACTTGGCTGCCGGGCCCTTGACTTGGCCGGGATTCTCCGGCTCGGCTTCTATGTTTCCCTCTGTTGCAGCTTAGAGATCTGGCTCAAGTGGCACACTGGGGATTTTTCAATGGCGTTTATAATAAATTTCGATTTGTCAGCGGCAAAGCGAGAAAACGGCGTCAAGTGCCTCCCCCTCCCAAGTGGCATCAAAATCAGTCAGCGATATAGCCTCAAATACAAGTCCAGATGGGAGTATTTTTCAAGGGCCAGATAATCTCAAACCATCAGAAATTTGAAATACCATTAAGTTTAAATAATTCTTTAATGTTGAACTTTAACGTCTTTTGATTTGGCTTGAAACCCGCCATATTGATATCTGGGTAAACCTAAAAGTAGGCCATCATTTTAGGCGATTCGAGGAGTGATCTTTTCATTTCCGCCGAAATCTAGACCCCACCGCGTAATGCCAACCAAAAACCAGTTTGAAACAATTAAAATCCAATAGCGTGCGTGAGGTGCAGACAATCGTCTGGCAAACTTGATCGAAAAGGGGCGGATATCGCGCCTCATAGCCGGTGCAATAAAATGCTAAAATCCAGCCAAATGATCGCTTGACAAACGATTAGCCATGTGAATGTGAACTCGTTTCAATAATCCCGCGAGTTGTTAGGTCGGCGCCACATTGGCAGCAAATGTTTTTATTCGAAAATGAAGGCAAACAAAGGGCACAGAACTTACAGCCGCTGTGCATTAATTAAATGGCTATAAATGGCTATGTTTATGGTGGCATTTGAACTGGATTATATTGGATTGAATAGAACTATTAGCTATGGATGACACTTCCGGATGGCGAGTGTCCGATGGCGATTAGGCGATTGCAGTGGCGTGTGTGGGCGTTGGTGTCACTTGAGCGGGCGTGGGAGTCACGGTCTCCGGGTCATGGGTCTGAGCTGGAGTGTAAGTGGTGGGGGCGGGCGTGTACGTAGCGCCCTTGTCGTCGGGCTCCTTGTCCAGGATCACTTTCTTTAGGATGAAGTACAGGGCACCGCCAATCAGTAGCTCCGCTAGGGCAATGCACACTATCAGCGCCCAGCCGGGAATGGCAAGGCCGCCTGAAAAAATCAAAGATTAGTAACGTTTCGAGAATGTATCACGTATACGCCATGACTTACTGAAGTATCTGCGGGTGAGGGTGCGACGACCGCGGTTCACGCGTCGCGTGGCCTCCGTTTCCGGCATGCAACAAGCCAGCAGCACTGAAAAAAATAATTTTAATTATGCAAATACTTCAAGAACGTTAAAAAATAAATATTTTCTTATTTGGAGCTATTTTATAAAACTTAAAATTGGAATACAATCACGGAATTCTAACCAATTTCTAAATTTATCTCTTTTCATTAATTAAACTCTAACCAATATTGTTTATTCAAAAAACACCGCATAAGTATGTCATTAACGATCATCCCATAAGTTCTTATACCACAAGTTTCAGCTATTAATTCAAAATTGATTGATAGACTTTGTTTTTTCCCGTGTGAGTACCAAACAGGGGCCACTCGACCGTGTTGGTAGTAAAACAATTTGTCCGAGACGCAGAACATATATTTGAAGAACGCGCCGCGTGTGGTCGAAGGTGGCCAGCTGCGATGGTGACTCCAACTCCGATTCCGAGCTGGATTCCGAGTGCGGCAATGGCTTTGAAGCATCCATCAAGCGAGGCAATAAAGCGAGCCAAACCGCTCGGAACGGAACTCATTGAAACAGCGTGGAACCCAGGCCATTCATCATATGGATCTCTCCAACATGTTATGGCCGAAGCGCGAAGACTTGTTAAGATATTAACAATTAATTATTGAGAAAATGTTTAACAACAGAGCCAGCAGAGCAGCGCAAAAAACTGCTGATTCCGATTGAGCCAAAATCGCGCGCGCGCGCCAACTTGATGATAAATTTCAGTTGGCCAGAAGAATCCGTGTTTTTTTATTTTGTCATGAGGGGAAGGAGGGCAGAACACAGGGCTTTGTTGCCTTTTGGCACATTCTTAGCCATTGTTCTATTGCGGATGTCAGACTCGATTTCACGTAAAATTATTAAAATGTATTTTTAATTAATAATTTGATAGTTTGGCTGTTTGTTTTGGTTCGGCACATTCGTCGTATTTTGCGCATAAAATATTAAACATGAGGTTAGCTAATATGGAAATCGGTTTTCTGTCCAGTGCACTATTGATTTGTATGGATGGCTTTGATTAGCCCACCCCTCGGGACTGGCTGAGTCATGGAATGGGGGCCTGTGACGAAAACCATATGCCAAATGGATGTGGCTAGAAGCGCGACCGAATTTCGTCGGCTGGCCACTAACCAAAATTAATTGTTTCTATTATATATAAATAAAGTGTGATTTTTTTCGGGATATTTCATAATTTATTTGGCAAATGATTACCGAGCTTTTACCACTTCCGGCTGAACTGAATTGTGCTATCGGCCTTATCAAATTTTAATGAATCCAATGAAAATGTTTTCGAATTTATTAACTGCCGAATAAATCATCAATTTAATTGAGGACAGCTGGAATGCTGTCGTTCAAACAATTTGTTGAAATCTTTTGTCCGTCCTCGAAATAACTCAGTGCAAGGCAGAAATTCATTCACATTTCGATTGGAATTTCTTTGATTTTCCCCTTGAGCTCACTGAGTCACCACGCCCAAGAAAAACACGCCCAAAAAGCCCACTGTGATGGGGCAACAGTGAGTAAACAGGGCTTATCGCAACCGTTTCCCTGATAAGCGCCAACACATTTGTAGAGTTGGCTTTGGCAAGATAAAAGTCTCCACAGATTGTGTGACGCACACTTGGCCCAGTTACTCATCGTTAAAATCTCCAATTGCCAAAGTTGGCTCATTAAAATCCCACACCTGCACTCCTGTCGGGAGCGAGAGTATCTTTTGGATGCACTAGCCGGAAAACTGACACGGAGTATAACTATTCCGCCATTATGATGCACCATCACTGCTTTTTGATGGCCATTTCGGCGCAGACACAAACACATACAGGCACTCGCGAAAAGTATCTCAAAGATACGGAAAACTCAAAAACTTGGCAGAATCATATGCAGAACTTTACCCAGGCATATCACCAAGTAGGTGGAGCACTTCTTAGCCAACTTCATTTCCGTCGCTCGTTCGTTCAGTTCGTTCGCTTAAAAAACGTCTTCTCGCTTTTAGCTGTTAGCTGTTGGCCAAGTTTGTAACGCGCACGTCGTCAACTCCAAAGTGGAACTAAAAAACTGTGTGTGATTGCATTCAGCGGCAGGTGCTGGTATCTTATCGCCATGTATCCGACATACAGATAAGATAAGAATGTGTTCTTTAACGCTCTCTGCTTTGGTATTTTCTGAGGTCAGCAATACACATGAAACAACTTTAATGTTTTAAAAATATAACCCTTTCAAAAATTAAAAAAAAAAATATGACCCTAAAAATTTTTTGATTGAGGCTCAAGATTAGGAGCCCAAACACCACCAAAACAACTTTCTATTCCTTTGCAATTTTCTTGTCTTTTTTCTTAAAAAATGTAGGATTTTAACTTAATACAAATTACAAAAATATAGCAAAATTGAAATTAAATGTAAATTAAATGTATACTATGTATGTTACTATAAGAAAACTTAGTGTAAGTTAGAAACTCTTAATGGAGAAATTTAAAACCGCAAGTCAAATTAATTCTAATAATACTTTTTTTACAACTTTTTTCAATACTACTTTTTTTTAATAACATAGTGGAACAGTGATTTTGAATTTTTAAAGTTACATAGTAGGAATTGTTTATAAGGTCGAACAAAGCACAAAACCGTGTGTAAAATATTTGTAACACCCTCAAAATTTCGGGACTTTTTAGCGCTTCAAAATTCCTAATCGTGTAATTTTAAGTCGATTTGAAAATTTCAGTTTTTTAATATTTTAATGTTGTAGCTTTTAAATAAAATATATATACATATATTGTGTATATTTAAACTGACATTTTTGCATTTTATTCGTGTTTTTGGGATTTTGAAGTTATTTTTCGGTATAATTTAAAAATTCATGACACATCAATAAAACGAGACCAATATTATTAAGAAGTTGTGAAAATTGTTAATATAACGCTTTTCCCAAAACATGTCAATGCAATCTTGCGAGCTTTTCAGAGCAAAAGTGTTGCATTGCGCTTAATCCTTTCTTAAGCGCAAGATTGCATTGACTTCTTTTGAAAAAAGCGACATACAAAATAACACAAGGATCGGACGACTATATCCTATAGCTTTCATATACATAATAGATAGGAAATTTCCATACATTCGTATTTTTTGAACTTGAACGTACTTACGACCTTACGAACGACCTACCAAATTTCTTAGTGGTGGGCCGTATATATTCTATAGCGTTTAGTTATAGATATAACTAAAAGATCGGATATGGTATTTTCTATTTGGTAAAAGATATCAAAGATATTTGTGAAGATAGAAGATTTCGACTTTTTTCTTGTCTTTGTATTCTAATAAATTGGTTTAATTATAAAATTCTTATAAGGATCGTCTCACTATATCCGATGTTTGGGTACATCAACTTCGGCTCCGTCCAATGTTAGCTTTCCTTTCTTATTTTCCTTTTTTATTTACTTTCTTATAAAAAGATATGTGCGTTTGCGAAAATGCGTCGATAAATACATAATAAACATAAAATAATATTCAATGAAAATCAAGTATTTTTATCAACAATATCACCATAAATATTTATCTCTACCATTTAATAATCCTGTACATGAATATTAACGTGGATACCTAATTCAAAGATCATCCACCTATGAAAAATTTTAAGTAAAGAAAAAAATCTAAAAAACAAAAAATGGCTAATCAACATGTATTATTTAATCCTAATCCTATTCCCAATTATTCAAACAGACACCTAAATTAAAGTTGATATTCCCATTAAACTCTTAATGATATGCAAATAAAACTTTTTTAGATTTGTTTTAAAAATTTTTATTATTGTTAATTCGTGTTTGTACTGGGATTTGTCATGACGGATTCAAATTGACTAATACGATCGACTTATGGTTAGTGTCTTAATGAGACTTTCGGTTGCAGGACTTCTTCTGGGAACATCCTCGACAATCTCAATCGATAGTGCTGTGGGTGGGTAGGTGGTGGTAGCCAGTCGGCTTCTTAGTGACGGCGGAGCTTCAGGCGGCGCACGGTCTTGTAACGGTAGCCATCGGCGGCCAGGACGGTGGCCTCGGCGGGCACATCGATGACGGCGGAAGCGGCGGCCTCCTCAACAGGGGGCAGGTACTCAGCGGAGGGCAGCTCGTTGACATCACGACGACGACGGATCACACGGCGGACGGTCTTGTAACGGTATCCATCAGCAGCCAGGGGAGTCTCGACGGCAACCTCGTCGGAAGCAGCCTCCACAGGGGGCAGGTATTCGGCAGAGGGCAGCTCGTTGACGTCACGACGGCGACGGATCACACGGCGGACGGTCTTGTAACGGTATCCATCAGCAGCCAGGGGAGTCTCGACGGCAACCTCGTCGGAAGCAGCCTCCACAGGGGGCAGGTATTCGGCAGAGGGCAGCTCGTTGACGTCACGACGGCGACGGATCACACGGCGGACGGTCTTGTAACGGTAACCATCATCAGCCAAGACAGCGGACTCCTCGGTGGCGGCGGGGGCAACAGCGATCTCCTCAGATGGGGGCAGGTACTCTCCGGAAGGCAGCTCGTTGACGTCACGACGACGACGGATCACACGGCGGACGGTCTTGTAACGGTATCCATCATCAGCCAGGGGAGTCTCGACGGCAACCTCTTCGGAAGCAGCCTGCACAGGGGGCAGGTATTCGGCAGAGGGCAGCTCGTTGACATCACGACGGCGACGGATCACACGGCGGACGGTCTTGTAACGGTATCCATCAGCAGCCAGGGGAGTCTCGACGGCAACCTCGTCGGAAGCAGCCTCCACAGGGGGCAGGTATTCGGCAGAGGGCAGCTCGTTGACGTCACGACGGCGACGGATCACACGGCGGACGGTCTTGTAACGGTAACCATCATCAGCCAAGACAGCGGACTCCTCGGTGGCGGCGGGGGCAACAGCGATCTCCTCAGATGGGGGCAGGTACTCTCCGGAAGGCAGCTCGTTGACGTCACGACGGCGACGGATCACACGGCGGACGGTCTTGTAACGGTAGCCATCATCAGCCAGGGGAGTCTCGACGGCCACAGCCTCGGAAGCCTCCTCCACAGGAGGCAGGTACTCAGCAGACAGCTCGTTCACATCGCGGCGGTGGCGGAGCTTAAGGCGGCGCACGGTCTTGTAGCGGTATCCATCGTCGGCAAGGGCGCCCTGGTCGGCGGGAAGCTCGACCACCTCGGAGGCAGCCTCCAGGTTGTTGTCCACGGGTGGCAGGTAATCCGTGGCAATAGAAGCCGCCGAAGCAGCTGCGATCACAGCGAAGGCAATGACGAAGAATTTCTGTAAGAGGCAAGGATTTCAGATTACTCCAAGTGCTGGTCGCAGGAATCGTTGTGGATCAGAGAGAACTAACCATTTTCCCAGAAGATCCTAGACGATGTCTATTAGATTAATCCAAAGTTGATTCTGTTTCGAAACCAGACCCAACGACACTATTTATACACAAAATCCGCAAAAAGTTCTCGGCTGGCCGATGTCCATTCCATTCACTTTGGTTTCGATGAGATGAGATGAGCTACGATGATCGCCGGGGAAACCGGTTCGCGAACCACGAACTGCCGCATCGATCGATGGATCGATGGCTTTTTCTTGTCCGGGGGCCGAAAATGGTGATGCGGATTGTCTAGTTGCTATTGTCAAAAAGTGTCTCAAGCACCAATTGAACTCTAGCTGGCTAGCTGAGGGGACGGCCATAAAAAATGATTAGCGCGGCCAGCTGCCAGCAAACAAAACGAAAGTAAACAATGCCAGTGAATCCACTCATTCGTAGGCAGATGGAACAAAAGCTCGGCGGTATATTTGCATCGATTTATGTCTGCCATTCGGAGATACATTTGTGTCATTCCATGGTAATTGCAAGCGGAAGTCGCCGCTTTTCATTCAATCCGATCGTCTGTGTGATTTTTGGAGGCTCTCCATCTTTAGTCTTCAGCGTTCGCCGCTCGATCTCGGATCGCCAATCTCCGGGGCTTAAGGTTAACTTCGATCCACTCGAAGATCGGATTGATGCTCGTTGATGGACAAGAGTCTAAGGTTGAGCCATCGAGTGTGGCTATTTTCGTACACGGTTTTCGCCGGCCACGCTCCATTAGGCTTCTATTAATAGCCCCGTGATTTAAGACCCCGCCACATTCGTTATTCAATTTATAATTTTAATTTTAATTCGTGCTGGATGCTCCAATTGAGCCGCAAGCACGCAATAAATCTTGCGGATAAGCCAAAACGGCTTAACAGTCGCCCACTCACATGGATTCCATCCATTCTAAATGATGAAGCACCTCTCGACGATGGCAATGGCAATGGAACTTCGAGTGGACTGTCTGTCCAAAGTTTTGATATGGAGATTGGATTTAAGAATAGAACGGCATGTGCTTTTTATAAATTAAGTGATTGATTCGAGTGTGTGAGTGAGTGTGTTTTAAAGCGCGATTCGGACATTACATCCTGTTGAGTTGTAATTCAGATTTAAAATCCCCTGCCGAGCGCCGAAATCTTTCTTTCATTAGCCGTGTTTCCTGGTCAGATCTCCCTGCAAAAAAAAAACAGTCTACGAGCTCAATTTTAAATATGTTCACACAGGGGTGGGCGCTTTATTCATTCGTTTATTCATTTGTAAATGGCGCACATAAAAAATATATATGTCCCCTCCTGCCGTATAGTATTCTGCATATTTAATTTATATCTGGCAATCAGCATCATCATCATCATCAGAAAAATGCCACTGCGCATTGGCCCCTCCTGGTATCAAAAAACTTCCCGCGGCCCAGATCTGCGCAAGGTTGCAGGTGAATGAGGAAAACAGGAGCCAACAGAGTAAATAGGACCGCTTGCAGCTCGCTTCTGGGGCTTCCCGGGTGGCAGCAGTGGTGGCAGGAATCAAACGAAATAAAATCAAAATACGTAGCAGTTGCACACAGAGTTGGGGCGGCCCTTTGTGTCCGGCCAGAAGGCACAAGCCCGCCGCCCAGTAGGCATTCCCAATCCCCATCAGTCGTCCAGTTGGCAAAGGCAGGCCGTGCCCCGGTTAATCCAGTGCATGGCTGTCCGGGAGCATCGCAGCTGCAGGTACATCACAAAATTGGTCGAGTGGCCTGTGGTGGACAGGACACCACGTCGCTCGCTCGTTTTGTACACGGGACAATCGTAGTAAGTCTCCACCTCGGCGCCGCCAGTTCCGCGTGGCAGATCCTCCAAGCTTTTCAAAACGGGCCGCAGGTATATGACGGGCAGAGTATCGAATAGAATCTTTGAAAAGGACTCGTCCACCTCTTTGTTCTTGCGATTCCAGCGAGCACCTTCTATAAAAATGCCCTATAGGAGAGTAAAGACAACATGTTAAAATATTGACACTATGTATTAAAATGTATCCAAAAAAAAGATTGTATTATGAGTGCCTAACTACGAACCAGTGCAAAAATAAAAACCGAGCTAATAATAGAAAGCCTTAGCAAATCTTACTTCAATAAATTTGGTCTCATCGTTGACCTCTTTTTGTTCCTGTGTGGCATGTGTTGAATTAAATTTAGAAACTCGTTTCAATTCAGTTCCATTCGCTTTGCGTCAGAATAATAAAACGGCTAATAAACTCACCCGGATATAGGCACCCACTTCAGGAACCTGGGGAACCTGCACCTCGAACTTGGTCACGGCAAACTCGATCAAGATCATGTCTATCTGGAAGCGGTTCTTTCTGGAGTAGTTCTGCAGCACACCCGTGATGAAGGACTGGGTAAAGTAGAATCCAGAAATCCAATAAACCGATGGCTCGCCCTTGTCTATCCATTCCTGGAAGAAGGCCAACCTGCGGGATGGGAAGAGCGGGCCAGGAGCGGGCATTGCCAATGAGTTATCTTATTTTTCAATTTATTAATAAATATTAAACATGCGACAACAATGGGCATGGGCAAATGGCACATGGCAACTGGACTGGGGCAGGGCATGGGAATTGAAACGGGAGAGTGCACACAAAGCGTTTGGACATAAGCAGGGCAGGAGCACGAGCAGGAGCGGTAGCAGAAGCAGGAGCCGGAGCAATAGCAGGAGTACACAAACAGCAACCTCCTTTGATGTCAAAAGCAAATAAGATTTTTGCCATGAATGGCAGTGGCAGTAGCAGCAACCGCAGGAGGAAGAGCATCGGATGTGTGTGCCGTATACATTTATTATATTTGCACAATTGAGGCAAGGAAGGAAAAAAAGGACCAAGGACTCAGCCCAGGACGGAGCGCACGCGGCGCATTACAGCCAACTCAAGTCAGCTCAATACAATGCCATTGCTGGTAGTCCGAATGTTTAGAAGTAGTATACTAGGCACTCGAAAAAAAGCTTAACTTTGCGGAATACGGTTGAGAATATACTAAATGAAATCATACTTTTTTTTTCTCAGTGCATCCCAGTTACACGACTGCAATTTGAGATGGAGAAACTTACCGGGCCAAAAGGTCGTTCACGTAGCTGCCCAATGGCTTCAACGATGGATAGCTCTTCTTCAGCCAGTCCGCCGGCAACTTGCCAATGACCATCGAGGCGTGGGTGCGTTCCAGCTCTGGTATCATTGCAATCTGGCCCACCACCGCCTTCCCTACGTTCACCAAGCTCTTGCGAATATAGGAAATAAGTCGGTTGAAGCGGATCAACTCCTGGCGCAGCACCGTGTTCATCGAATTGGTGTAGATCACGGGATAGGATTTGGAAACCACATCAATGTCGAACTCCTCAGGCATCTGGGCAAGGACCTGTTTGCAAATAGCAATAGCAGGATCCTCTTTGGCCCCTCCTACTGAGCTGGCCTTAACCGAGGCCATCAGATCTGTTTGGGTGAGCAGGACGCCGCTAATAAGCTGAAGGGAAATATTTTAATATTTTACGAAATATAAGTAAAAATATTTGTAAACCCACCGCATTGGTCTCCTTGACATTGCGATTAATGTCTGCGTTTTCGTGAAGCCCGTAAACCTCCGGCTGGGGACTCAGTGGGAAACTGGACACATACTCTATGGAGTTGAGGCGTGTGGGACTCAAAGGAACTCGATAGTTACCGGACTGGGAGAGGGCATAGCTGGAACGAGAGTTATTTTAGTAATTTTTCGTAAAAAGCGAGTTAGTTCCTACTTGTCCTGTTCAATGGTGTTTTGGTTGTATATCATATTCAGCAAGGATAGGATCAAACGGCGATCCTTGTCGTCAGTGACACGACCTCCATAATTGCACTCTCCGGTCAAATAAACGTGTCCTCGGAAGGGTATACTTTGGCTTTGTGTGATAAACATCTTCAGCTGAAGGAGAGAAATTCTAAGGAGGAGATATTTTTTATTATATACTACTAATATAGCTCTATATGTAATATCTATAAAATACGGACATAAAACACCAATTTATGGTTAAGTTTAGGGTTTAAAAAGCTAAACTTGTTAGAATTTTATAGCTCTTTTATGGCTCTTTTCCAAATCTTCATAAAAAAAACATTAAAAAATACATTAATCACTTGAATAAATTAAAATGTATTGTGGTTGTAATAGGATTGTAAAACCTATAGTAGCTTGTAAAACATTCTTATACTTACTTCAAGTCGGACTCATTGAATTCGTAGGGAATATTCCAGCCCAGAGGACCAAATTCTCGCCGCTCCTGGACAACTGCGTGGAAGAACACCAGCGCAAAGACACCCCTGAGCCAGCATTTATTGGCCTGGTCCGAGAACAGGAAGGCGTTGGTAAAGAACTTGTCCCGCATCAGCGGATCCGATGTGAAGGACCTGTGCATATTAGCGCGCAGTCCTTTGGGCGGTTCGTTAGTCATTTTTACGGAGTTCTGCAGCACGGAGACGGGAAAAACGGAACTGGGGTACGAGGTGCACCACAGACGGTAGTCGTGGTTGGCTCCATCCGTTAGGGTGGTGTCGTTGCAGATCCTTTCCAGGTCGCCCATCCAACTGAAGGCCACGTGACAGTTCTGGAGCACCACCCACTGCCCGTGGCGGGCGGCCTCAATGATCATCTTCTCGGCACGCGGACCCTGTCCCTGGCCCAGGGAGATGGTCTTCAATCTGTTCGGCGGCATAATGAGTTTAGCATAAATTTTCTTAAATTCCCTCCTAGGGCGGGCGGAGCAAGGTGGCCTGGAGGACACACATATCGACAAGGCGCACATGTCGCGCTTAATCGAAAACATGCCGCTACCACCACCCCAAGAAGCAGCGACGGCATCCGTTCACCCACCACCACGGACACGGACACGGAAATATGAGCCACTCTCGTTAATTAACTTACTTGTCGTACATGTTGCGTTGTTTGGCGAACATGAAGAGACTGGCCATGGGATCCGATCCGGGCGAGAGCAGGAACACCAAAGGAATTTTCGGGGAGCTGTCAGCGAACGAGGCCGCCAAATCGAAGGGTGGCGGCTCCACAAACGAACGGTCCAGGTTGCGGGTAATAAAGGCCTGGCGGGGATAAACGAGGTTCATGTGGTTCACGGACGGGTATTAAATGCACACATGGACCGCCCAGAGCTCCACTTACCCGCACGGCAGGCACTAGTTTATCCGGACGCAGGGCCTTGAGGACGATCAGGTAGAGCATATCATTTACTGTATTCAGGGGTGCTGGCAGAGGCAGTTGGTCGGGACTGATTTCATCGTAGAACGCGTGCCAGGCATCGGTATTGGATTCCATATTTTGAATAAGAGTCTTAATGCTAACAGTCACATAAGAAAACAGGAACCATGAGGAAAATTCTCTACGAGATCCCACACTCACCCTTCAAGATCCGAGGCGGCCCTGTAAGCCGCTGCCCAGGACTTGTCCGGCAGCCAACCCGGAAACTTGTTCGGCGGAATGGTCTTGTAGCCAATGCCTCCGGTGAGGAAGAACAGCAGTGCCGCCTTCTCCACCCGACCCTGGGACACTAGGATGCCCAGGCACATGACCAGCGAAATAACCAACTTGTCCTTCTCGAACAGCGAGCGGCACACATTCGTGTATATGGACTTGGTGAAGTAGTCATTGAGGTTCCCCAATCGCTCGGTCAGATTGTCCGACTTGGGCGCCTTGAGGATGGTGCCCACGAAGAGATTGAGGAACCAGGCCAAGGAATACTGGTACATGGGGTCCACGTTGGCCAGCTCACTGATGCAGAAGAACAAGATGGCCGAGTGCTTGGCCACTGGGATGTACTGCTGTCGGGCAGCATCGATCTCTATCTCGGTGGCCACCGCAATTACTTGCTTTTCCTGGATGTCCTCTGAGAGGATTTTACTCGAGGATAGAATGTTGATGGCGTTCTCGTCCTCTAGGACATTGCCTTCAGAACTGGACAGCACCTAGAGAATATAATGAGTTATTATTAGATCTATAGGAGAGGTAAACTATAGGATCTAAAGGAGCTAACAAAAGTGAGGATACTGGAGTGGAAACCAAACATTTATTCCAGTTAAAAAATATTTGCTATTCTTGCTGTTGGATAGCCCACGGCTAAGTTGGCGATTTAAGCGCTCTGATTCCGGTTAATTGAATTGTCATTGGCCAGGCACAAAAGCATAAATTGCTAGCCCGGCTCTAATTGAAAGTGCAGAGCTGGCTGAGCCAGCGGAGTGGAATGGAATCGAGCCGTTGTGGATGCGAGATGTGAATGTAGAGGCTGGCAAAGCTCTCAAAGAGTGTGTGCGAAGGAATAAAAACATTTGTTATGCCAGGAGCAACGGAAGGAGCCGGATAAGTTGTGGAAGAGCCAGAAAGAAGAGACTTACCTCCAATATCTTCGATTCGATGGTGTACAATGCATCTCGATTCCTAGCGGACTCAATAATCAATTGTTCCTTTTTCTCTTGCAAATCGGGACGCTCGTGAGCCACCACAATCGCCAGCAATTGTTCGCGTAATCCCTGCTCCGTTATCATGAAATTTAATACTGTTACCTAAACAGAGAGTACGGAGGAGGCAGAACAGGACAGGATCAGTAGGATGAAATGGTGCTGGGTGGTCGTTGGAGTGTATGGTGTGTGGTGTGCCGGAGTGCTGCACGTCCAATGGAAAGAAAACTCAAAATAAACACACAATGTTCCTCATAAAAAAAGTTAAGAAAAGTGGGGGGGGGGCCCGTGGGTGGCTAAAATAGAGACGGTTAAAGGAAAACTGCTGACAACAGTTGCAGCATAAAAAGCGATGGCAAACGGCAGCAAAAGCGAATGCTGGAAAAATTTTATAAACACGCTGGAGCAGGAGGATAGATGTCCTAGCACGTACATCAGCCCACTACCAATGCCATTCCCAATCCTTGCCTCCATGTCATCGTCAATGCCAACGAAAATTTGCATATTCCCAGCGCCTGCTGCGCTGCATCGCATGCTCCAAATATCAATTTAAGTTGGTCGTTTTATTGCACAACTAACGTCATCATTGCCACAGACTGGTGTCCCGCACTCCACCACTTACCATAACCATCACTTCCGGCGGATAACGCGGATTGCGGAGACAGGTCGTTATGTAAAGACGAAAATCGGGATTGTATTCTATCATTTGGTCGCCGCTTTTGATGAACAGCCCGCCCTTGTGCTTGATAACGTTCTTCTCCAGAATGGGCGTCAGATTCGAGTCGAGTTTTTCGCCTGCCCCCCAGTGAGGATTGGTTAGGAGTTTCAGGAAGCCATTTACGAATTTAAAATTCGAACTCACCTACATTCTCGATCAGCACAGGCAGGCCATAAGATATGGCTAGCTCGAGGACTTGCATGTAGTTCCCATCGCTCTGCTTGATAACCTTCAGGTTGTTGTTCTTTTCCATGTTTTTGATCCATTTGTTGGCTTGCACTGTAATGGAGAAATAAATTTTAGCATGGCTCCTGAACTGGGGGGTTCTGTACCGACCCTGGGGATCAATGAGCAGCGAGTAGCGGCTGGAGTTCGTCACTATGATGCCGTTCTCCACGGAGAAGTTGTCTGCCGGCAGTCCGGCCAGTGACCAGGCTCGTATGGTCATCGGATGGCCCAGGGTGGTGGCCAGCGAGAAGGTCTCGCTGCAGGGGATGTGTCTCTTCAGGCACAAGGCATTCCAGTCGTCCAGTATGCTCACACGGTACTAAAAAAACATAAAGGGATTCGCAAATTAATCCCTACTCTGGCTAAATATTAACATGTCAGCGCTCGTGCCGGCTGAATATGAATTTAAACAGCCATGAAGGAGGCAAGCAAAATGTCCTGTCAGCCGTCTAAGCGCGGCAAATTAAAAAGGACCACATCGAAAGGAGTAGCGAAAAAATCACGGAGTCGAGATGAAAATCAATGTCACGTGTTCATGCATATTAAAAGCCTTTATGGAACGGCTACCGAACGTGGACTTTGCCATTAGCTGTCGGTGCAGGACATGTAAGAGCTGTCGGTGCCGGACACTCACCTCGGTGGTGAAGTAGCCCAGGTAAGCGGTGCAGCCACCGGCGAGCAGGACATCGCCCACGATATTGCTAATGGATTCGTGCAGGTTCTTAGCTGCCTCCGACCATCTCGTCTTCTCTCCGCCCAGGCCTCCCAGCAGCTTTTCCGCTCTGGAAAATAAATATTTCAGATTTAAATTGAAGATAGTGCCATCTCGGCGTATCCACCTGTTCAGCTTTTTCTCGCAATTATCGATTTCGTCCTCCAGACGCTTCTTTTCTCGGGACTTTTCCGCAAAGAAGTCATTGAGTTTCTGTAGCTTGTCCAGGATGACCTGCAACTCGGCCCGCTTGGCATTGAGCTTCTCCATCTGCTGGGACAGCTCGCCCTCGGCTTCGGCCAGGGCGGCCTTTTTAGGCATCACAATCCTGGCCACTTTGTCGTAGACGTCCATGGCCCGCACCCAACGGCAGATGCCCTCGCAGGCCATGGAGGCGGCCTTGATCTTCTCCGGAACAAAGTCACGATCTGCAATGTATCTGAGAGGGATTTAATCATTTGATTTTAAATAAATACTTAAAAAATAATTGAGCTCACTTCTCTCGTATCTTTTTAATAATCGGTGGAGGAATATTGTCCTTGTCGAAGGTCTTAAGCGAGTCCAGGAACTTCATATCGCTGAGCATGCGCATAGAGGGGCCCCAGTAGTCCTCCACCATGTGGCCACTGGGATCGGGCTTCCTATCTGGCTTCATGCCCTTCAGTACGCACACAGCCTCCATGGTCAGCTTGACACCGTAGGGGGGGTTCTTCATGGACTTGACTATGAAGATGTCCGCTGGCTTCAAAGTGTTGAGGGCCTCTAGAGCAGCCTCCATGGCGGGAATGGCCTCGGCCAAATCAGTTTCGCAATCATCCTTGATGGCTTGAGCAGCTGCGGCGGCTTCATTGGCCGCCGCCTCGTCCGCTCCCACCACTTCCTTCTTCTTCTCAGCCTCCGCCGTCTCCCGTTCGATGTTCACCATAATGCGGTCCGTCTCCTCGGAAAGAACTTTCAGCATCGGCTGGAGGTCATACAGATTTGTCTGCATCTCGCCCACCTGGCCTGCGGCAAAGTCCAGCTTCTCCAAACCAGTGGTGTAACGATCCCTCAGACGAGTAATCTCGTCCAGCTTCCGACTATAGAAAGTGCGGAATGCTTTCAAAAGCTCCAAGTACGCCGACGGCGTCACATAATTTCTGCGATTCAACTCCATGTAGCACCTCTCGCTGGCGTCTACCACAGACTGGTGGAAGTACATGACACAGTCGACCAGGTCCAACTCCAGTTGAGTCAACTCCCGATCCTCGTCTAAGGTTTCACGCCGTTGCGTCTCCTCCTGGCCCTGCTCTACCGATTCCCGAACCGATGCCGGCTCTTCGTGCTCCTCGCTATGTGGCCTATTTAGACGCATCGAGGTGACGAAATAGATGCCCACACGAGAGAGCGCCTCCTCCGGCCAGGGCATGTACCAGTCTATAGTGCAGCAGTTGATCAGCGAAGGATACACTCGTATGCGCTCCTTGAAAGAATCGCCAATGGGCGAGAAGGCCAGAGCTATGTGGAGCTGCTCCCGAATGCGATCGATGTAATAGGCATACACCTCACTGGGTAGGGTGTCCAGGACTTTGCCCTAGAGGAGAGCCAAAGAAAATGAGTTTATCTAGTTAAGATTTGTAAAATAAAAAAGCCATATAACCAAATCCAATAGCTACTCCCAAAAACTATTAAAACTCCCCCAGAAACTATTTCCCTTCTCAATGCAATGTTTATTTTTGAAACCTGCCCTGGCTATTTCGATTGACACTCACCAATTGTTTAGCCACATTTGCCATGTTCTCCATGATGGTCGCCTTGTCCTCCAGCTGATAGAGATTGGGTAAATCACCGGTATTAAGTATGCCATTGATATCCTCCACATAGCCCTCATCTGTTGCCTGAAAACCGAAGGGAGGAAAGTAACAACTGAGCAATGCAAATCAGAGTGCAGTTCGAGTGAAGTGGCATTTGGAAGTTGGATTGAGAGTTTGGCATGGTCCTGGCCAAATGCATTTTTATCCGGAGTTGGAGTCGGAGAAAAAGCCTTTTCCGAGAGCCTGGGACATGCATTTTGCATTCGCCTAAGTTACCCTGTCCCAGGAGTCGGCAATCGTGTTGCCAGCATGGGAGCTCTGAGTCCTGGCCGTTGGTCATTTTAGTGTAATTGTTAATTAATATCTGCATGGGGCTCTGTTGGCACAGACAGCAGAGAGTACACATTGTGGCTTTGAGAGGGGGCTAAATAATTGATTGGGGGCGAAAGGATCTGTATTCGGCAGGAACCGAAAACATTCTAATGCACCAGGCAATTTTTGCGGAAAGGTAGGCTGCCGAAAATCGATTGATTATTGTTTTGCTCCGACAGTGTAGCTATTTCGATTCAGATTTGGCAAACAAAATTAAAGCAGTCTTAATCCAGCCAAATAGCTTCTTCGGCTCTTGTACGAGTCTCTGCTTTTGGTCACGCTTCACGGTCAAGTGGCTCCAAACACACTCAAAAACATGGATAGAACGGAGGTGGCCGATGGCGGACAAAGGGCGTATTATGCGAATACAACGACAATGTGTAAACACCTGCATATTGTTTGCCGTGTGTATCGATCGGAATTCGGCCATGCTAATTTATTGACTTGGCTTTTAAGGTGGGCTTAGCCCCCACTCCACTCCACTCTAAGATGGGCAATTTTCTAGGCATGGCCTCCTCATGTGCTCTTGTTTTGCCATAATTTGAGCTGCTGCCTATGCAAATAGCCGAGCAATAATCAAGTTAGTTGAACAATTAACCTAATTATAAATGCAAATTTTGGCAAAACAATAAGTGCTGCTTCCGTATTGAAAATATTGTGGAGTCAAGACTCGAGCCAGGCCAAATTTAATTGTCCCTGTCTCTGCTCGTGCGATAAACTCAGCTATGTAAAATCTGTTTTATTTCCAAGAGCATTCAAATTGATTTCAATTTAATTTATCAATTTACATACACTGATTAGAGGGCAGACGGCAGGTTTATGGGTTTGTTGGCTCACTTTTGATGCCGATTCGATTTACAACCTTATTAAATTGCCATTCTGATGGATTGGCATAACAACAAATCCATTTGGTTTCCTAATGAGAATGGGTTTCCAGCTAACTCACCTGTGCGTCCGAAAACAAGAAGACGGTGTGATTCAGGTTGAAGCTGGCCGCCATCAGAATCTTCTTCAGATCGTCGCGCCAATCCGTCAGGGTGTAGCTCTTGGACACCTGGACAGTCATCAGCCGACAGTCGGCGATGTAGGCCGCCAGGCGGGCGGAGCTGCGGCGTCCCGATCCGCCCATGCCCACCATTAGGATATTTCCGCGCGGCATTTGCAGCACCCGGGAAACCCTGTAATATTTTTCTTAAATTAGTTTTCACTCCAAATACAAGCAAGATTCATCTGGAAAATAATTAAACTGCAAGTTTGTGTTCAGAAGCCATGTTTGTAGATGGTTCAGGCTTCTATGTATACTTTCGGGAACAATCGGGAACATACCTGCTCACGTGCTCTATGGCAAACCGGAACATGACCAAGTCCATCGGGGTACTAGAGAATGAGTTGTACTCCCGTAGGTAGTACTTCATCAGCTTCTCCAGCTTTTCGTAGGTTTCGCCCTCGTCGTAGTACTTGGGTTCGGCATCCGGCTCCATGTAGTTGCCGTAGAAGAGATTCCGCAGGTCATTGTCCGTCAGCTTCTCGCCGGGCTCTATTCTTTCGGCGAATGCCTGTTCCAGGGGGAAGCGCAGGTTGGTCTTGCAGGCATCGACGGCCATCACCAAGAGACGATCCCGATCCTTCTGGTCCACCAAGCTGCCAAAAATAAAACGCAGAGGTGGAAAAAGCCATGTAATTTAACTAGCCAAGGGCATGAGGACACTTCTACCGACACTCACCGGTCGTAAAAGACGCGATAGGTTTCATGGGCCCAAAGGCGACCCAGCTTCTCCGGGTCGGGCATCCGCTTGGGCGGGACCATCACGATGCCCTGGAAGACGCGCGTGATGTCGCGCAGGGAGAACGTGTAGTGCGACTTGGCCGGCGTGGGCAGGAAGGTGCGAATTGCCCCGCGGTACACACTGACCATGGCCTCCGATAAGCCCTGCGAATGGATATCACGAATATTCACGGACTGCACAATAAAAATGACCAAAAGGACAAACCGGAAGAGGAGTCGTGGAATGGTTGTGGAAGCGGAACATGCGGAGGATGATAGCCAGTCGAAGTTTTTGGGAAATGAAGCTATAAAATACACCATTTTAATTTTATTATGCACCCGTCGGTTGGATGCCAGCCAAGCTCATGGCAGACACATGGATGGACCATTGACTCCACTGACCAGACAATCATCCTCCAGTATTTCCCGCTCCCTCGTGGTTAAGACACTGATACAATTTTTGCTTCGAAATGGTTTTAAAACAATATTATACGTAACTTGTAAATTAAAACATAAAACTAAAAAGTGCTTAGAATCTGTTTAAAGAATAAAAAATGTAATTTAAAATTGAGTAAACCTGTTTCTTTTCTGTGCACTGTTCTTTTGGAATATGAGCATGAGATACGTACGCGGGATAGCAGAGCCACCTTCTCGGGATAACCCTTGGAAAAGTGCCAATCACCAATCGATGTGAATATGCGAACGATGGTGGAGTCCTCAAAGGAATCAACGGCCACCACGAACATGTGGCGATAGAGACGCGGAAAAATGAAGTTGCTGCCGCCCAAAGTGCCCATGGCGCACATCAGAGACTGTGGAAAGGACCGGGATGACATGATAACTTCACAAGTAACTTATGGCCAGTTTACGAACGGAATAAGTTGTCAACTGGCCTCGCAACCACCTACCATGTCCACCAGTTCGATTTTGGTGGTGTCTATCAGGTCCGACCAGTAGCCGTGGTCCAGCCAAGTTCGAAGTAGCTCCAGCGGTCCCTGAGAGCCATAGGTGTCCTTTGCAGGCATGGCCACATCATCACAGAAGACAGTGCACTGTGAAAATGAAGTAGGAATATTGAGGAAGCTTTAATGAGCCAATCATGGACTTGCCTTCTTGCCCAGAGCGGGTCCGAAGACTCCCTTGCGTCGCCTGTCCAGCTTGCTCATGATCGTGTCCTGGACCATTTGGGCAGAGGTTCGAGCCGAAAAGTTGATGACATTGACGAGGTTGGCAAACTTAGGCAGGGCCAGCAGGTTGCTGGTGATAATGGCGCTCTTTCCCGTGCCCGTTGGCCCAACGACCAGCATGGGGTACGACTTGGAAATGCAAAAGTCCTGCCAGTAGGAAATGTAACCTGTCTCCTTGGTGGGCACGATCAGCTCACTGATCTGAGCCTGCTCCGGGAAGTTGGCCGGAGTGCCGCTATCGTCGCTCTTGTGCCAGGTCCACCAGTTCTCTGCCTCGTCGAACCTATAGTCCAGGAACACCAGTTTCTCCGGGAACATCTGGCCACGATTCAGGGAGAAGTACTTCGGCTTGGGATAGCTCTCGTTTGATCCGTAGATCACCTTACGCAGCAACGCGTCGAAGGTCTTCTGACCAGCTCCCGTGAGGGCTGAGCAATAGGCCCAGGCATAGCAGAAGAGGAACATCTGCTGGAACCAGGCCTGATTGAACTGCTTGTGCTTTTCCAGGAAGTGCAGGAAGAAGCGCGAGAAGATCTGGTACTGATAGATGGGCGATAGCTCCAGCATCTGCTTGCACTGCGGTAGGAATTCCAGCGCAGCCGGAATCAGCCAGTTTACCAGGTCCTCGAACAGGTTCATGTAGATTTCGTTGAGCCCAACCTTGTTGACCAGGATATTGATGAAGCTCTTGTGGAATGCCCGCCAGCCCAGTTGCGAAGGCTCCATGTAGATCATGCCGCAGCGGGACACGGTGGCCGGAGACGCCTGCTCCAGATCCGCCGGCTCGAACATCATGTTCATCAGCTTGGTCATCTGCATGATCTCCCCAGACATCAGACAGAGCTTCTTATTGTCGTCCAGCACAGTGTTCAGGTTTTCAATCCACACTGCATCCACAGGGCCATCGAACATCACCCAAGCGCGTTCTGTTTTAGGCCCCTGTACCTGCTCCCTGAAGGTCTTGGCCAAGACACCGTCGTACCACTCGTGGGAGACTGGATCGAAGCGCCCGTACAGTTGGCCCATGGTAATGGCCTTTGGGTTGATGATGCGGAACACGACCGGGAACTCCTTCAAGGTGCACGTGTCGTCGTTGGCCACATTTCGTAGGGTCTGGGCTAGCACCTAAAAATATATACAAATCGAAAGAACTTGTAATTCAATCAGTTATTTATAATTTTTTCGGTCTTCCATTAATTTTTGTAACCAGACAAAAAATCCACCTTTAATACCGGCTGCCCCCCTGGCCGATTGAGTCGTTTGTTAAGCCATTAATTCCAGGCCATTTAATTGGCTGGCCGACCAAATTAATAAACGTGCAGTGCATGGGAGTCCTGAAACTGAGATACCCACCTGGTAGGCAGTGGTCTTGCCACCCATGGCGCCTCCCACAATCATGAGGCCGTGCCGCACGAGCAACATCTCGTATATCTGCAGAATTTTCTCCAAATACCAGGGCGTCGCCTGCAGATTCCGCTCCGCCAGGTTGATGTGAAGCCACTTGAGTATGTCGCCACGTTGCGGCTATCCGTCGGGAAGAGGTTGTGGAGGATGGCGTTAATAAAGTATGAAAAATATGGAAAAAGAGGTTGGGTCAATAAAGGGGGAGTTAATAAATGGTATATGTATTCAAGAATTGTTTTCAAGAGACTGTATCCCGAATGGCATAAATTAATGGAATGTTCGTTTTTTTCCTCATAGTTAGAACTTAAAATATTTGATCTCTGAATAGCATTTTTGTGTATTAATCATCAGCTCATTATCGCGTTAATTGTCGCCGGTTGCGGGTCATTACACCTGAAGAATGATAAATGATTCGGGAGGATGACCTGTCCCTTACCATGGGCAGCTCCACGCCGGGGAATAGATCCATGTAGATGCCAATGAAGAGGGAAATATCCTGCTCCAGGAATTTTGGCAAATTGACATCGACGATGGCACGCAGGACAATCTCCGGCTCCGGCAGGTCAGTGTAGAGTCGGCGCAGGGAGGCGGAGGCCAGCAGGACGGACTTTACGGCGCGCATTCCTGGCAAATAAACGTACAGTAAGGATTCGTAAAGACAGTTTACAGAAAATAATATAAAACTACAATAGTTCTAGTGCGTGAAAAGGACTTAATTTTAAAGAATAGTAAGTCAAACATGGTCATCTTCAAAAGCTATGGAATCGGACCCCGGGAGGTAGGACTGTTTTTTTTTTGGAGAGTATATCTGCTGATGTTTCATAGTGCTGGTTGGAGGGCATTAGCTTGACAGTTATGCGGCGCATAACTCAGTAGCTCCGTTTCAGGTATTTGGCGATGCGGACGCTGATGGCGTCGCAGAGTCCTGCGAGTCCAGAGAGTGCTGCCTCTAGCACCTCGCCGCCCACACCGATTCCAGGCTTCATTATAGCGCCAGGAAAATGCTAAACTTTTGCAACGTTGCAAAAACATCTGGACAGGAGCGCCATGGATGTGGGTGTGAGGCGGCAACTAAATGTACAAATAGTTTTTATTATTACTTGGCAGAGCGGCAAATACAGACACATGGAAACAAACACAAGGACAAACACACGTGCTTACAATGCGGCCCTCAGTGTGTGCGTCCATGTGCCATTTGTCTCTCACACACGCAACACAAAAGCGCAGCAAACTTGCAAGAAAGTTTTTCAATTTAAACTCAAAATAAGATACTGATCAAATGTACTTTGCACATAAACTTGCACACAGCTGCCTTCCTGCAATTGCAGCCAGCGGCTGGACAAAGATGCAACGCACACACACCCGTACACACTAGAAATCCGGACGGAGTGGCATACACAGACATGCTGTAATGTCATATGACATGTTACGTCGTAAAAGGAGCAATATCTTTGCCTTGAAACAAGCAGAGAGAAGGAAAAGAAGTAAAAGATGTCGGAGACGGACGGAGAAGGAGGGGCGACCAGGCACGCAGGAGGACATGAGACATCCGGAAAGTTGTTGCCCTTCTCCGATGAAAAGACCCTGCTGAAAGCCAGCTCCCCCGGAAACTTGGGAAAAAAAGGAGAATAACATGTGTTGTTGACTACTTTTGCGCCTTATTAGCCAGGTGGAGGTCTAATGTCGGGATAACTACGAGGAAAAGACAGTACCACATTGGGAACTTGTTGCTTGATTGGGGACTCAGGACATCAGGATACACCTACCGTAATCGTAATGCGACTGCGAGGACAGCTGTTCGGAGCAGAGCTTGTAGGCCTGCACGATCTTCTGGGAAAGGTTCCTGGCCATGTCGAATCCGTTGGAGTAGAGCGTTATCTCCCCGATCATGGCGTAATCGGGCACCATCATGGCCACTGTCCGGAACAGGACCTTCAGATTGTCCGGCAGTTCAGTTCGCCCGGCATAACTGTGGAAATAAAAAAGCAAATTAAAGGGGACAAAAGGGACAGAGGAGACACAGGATTAGGGCCCGTTGGGCAATCAAATTCATCAAAGTGCAAGTGCTAATGGCATAAATACTAAACACAGGGCCATTTTCCTCCGGATACCCTCCAATCTGTCCCTGAGTTCCATACCCTGGCCAATAACCAATATGAGTGACTGCTCTTAAGAACGTCTGGTTGCGTGACAAATTGGCAGACTGGCAGAAAAACCGGAGAGGAAAAAAGCAGCACCGGCAGAGGCAGAGGCCCAGGCGCAGGCACAGGACCTGGCAGGGCCGGGCAGGCTAGCTGGCTGGATGTGTCTGCCTGGTGGCAATGGCAATGGCAAAGCAATGGCTAGGCAAAGCACACTGGCAAAGGCAAAGCAAAAGCGACGTCGAATCGAAATTAAGACCTTCGCTGAATGGCGCAATCAGTTACGGCCGGAGAGGAGTATGGCATAAAGAAAGAGACAGCGATAGCTGTAGCCATAGCCGTAGCCGTAGCCGGGCTAATATGCATGTTTGTCGCAGCTGTTCCACATGCATGCCAAAGCAATAAATATCCCGTTGGGAAAATCTCCAATAACGCAATAACTACCAATATCGGAACGCACTGCGTCCACCTCTACCTCGACCCGGCTACACAGCTCCACGTATCTTCTCTCCGGCCATCTCTTCGGCAGTGGTAGGCCGTTCCGGCTTACAAAGTAACTAAATGCATTTTCAAATGCCCAGCCCCGGTTCGGTCAGAAAATAAAGAAAATGAAAAAAGAACAGGAGGGAGTGCGGAAAAAATGCGATGCGTGAAACCGCAGCTGCTGTTTCCAGGTTCGCCATTCGAATCTCCTCTCTACTCACCCGGGATTCATGGTTATGAATATGGAACAAGTCGGATCCAGTTTTAGCATTGTGTCCTCGAAAAAGAATTTCACAACCTTGCGTCCAATGGCCCGCTGGATGGTCAGGATCTGTTGCGCCACCACGGAGAGCACCTCCAGTTCGATACGGTTGAACTCGTCGAAGCAGGCCCAGGCGCCCGATTGAGCCAAGCCCTACAAAGAAACAAGTGGTATGGGGTAGTCAAAACAGCACAGGATAGCACCAAACCAAACTGAACAGGACTGAAAAAATAGAGCACACAAATAGAAACAGAAATTCCTGGACAAGAGTGCCAGGGAATCAACCCATACTCAAGTACATTGAGAAAATATCGGACTAATTCAAGATCCCATTGAGTAATGTCTAATCTTAATTTGAATTTACATGTCTAGTTTAAAAAATAATGTTGTGGTTGTATAAAAATAATAAGTTTAAAAATATAAAATGGAATTTGTTCTCTCTGTACCGCAGGCGATGAGGAAAGTGGAAAAAGCAAACAGCAGCATAAACATTATTTTCCCTTTCTCATGGTTCGGTTTCTGTTTTCAGTGTTCGGGGCTTCCAGAGGCCACGGCGGGGTCGATATGGGCAGGACGACCCTTTGATATGCTTCCTTTTGCATGTTGCAATAAATATGCTGTTTTATCCCAGCTGGAAGCCCCCAGTCACTCCACCTCCAGCGCTCGGAGCACAACGCCAAAGCAGCCAACTGACCTGACTGCAAGTGCTATACGCTATGTGTATATAATGCTATATGCTGTGTGCCATATGCTGTATCTGTATCGGAGAGGAGGTGTGTGGGGGAGTGGCATATCCATAGCTGATATGTCCTGTGAGCTGCCCCCCGGCCATGCACCAGATATTCCATTACTCCATGGTTAACTGGAGAAAAGGTTTGAGTTTCTCCTAATTAGGGAAGCCCTTTGTTTGAAACTATTGAGATGCACAAGAGTTTCACATCCAACGAAAGTTTCCAGCTGTATTATTCAAGTTTTATTTAGATACATGTGCAATTATTGGGGAATCATGCAAAGGAAAAGTGGAAATCGAGAATTTGAGTTTGGAAAATTGCAGTCTTGTTGAAGCAGAGAAATATTAAATTATCATAAATCAGAGAAATATTTGAAAAGAACTAGAGCAAACTTTAATTGTAGCAAACTTTAATTGAAAAACCCCACTAAATTGTGTGTGGTGTGAGCGACCTCTGACCCTGGGCCAAAATAAGCACAATCACCTATCGAATTTGGGCGCCCAGGGGCAGCTGTTGCTCTTGAGCGTTCCAGGGTGGGCTGTTTGGCAAGTGGCTTCTGTTGATACTTCCGCAAGGATTCCCCCTGCACCTTTCACAGTTGGTTTACATTCTGTTGCGCGTTCGCACGCTTTTTGCAGCCACTGTTGTGCCCCTGCACCGATGCGATGTGGTCCTTGCAGTTTCGCCTGGCCGACCACTGTACAATTAGCGCCTCGGTGCAGCAGAGGAGGACCAGGCAGGTGACGCCACTGTTGTGCTAGGCACTTGTTTGGCCAGGCCAACGGAACACAAAAAAGGAGAGTGGCTATTGCCTTTGCACACTTTGAACTTTGTTTAGAGTGGTTTCCCAACCACCCACTCCTGGCGAGGCTGCGATAACTTTTTCCTGCCATTCGGATGCGCCTTTTGTTCGGCTCGACATCCATTGTTGTGGCCATTTTATTTCCATTTAATTTATTTACGATTGCTGCTCTCAAACAGTGCTCAGGGCACAGACATTGCCTTGGAATATTTCGCATATTTTGTCAATTGCAAATTATTTTATTGCTGCAACATTGTTTCCCAGCCCAACTACGTAGACGGCCGAACCACCAGAAACCTGCCCAGTGGGTGAGCATCGGGGCCGGAGATTTACGACTTCCTAGAGATTATTAGAACAAATGCCAATCCAGTTGGTGACAAAGCACAGAACGACTTTCTAAAACCAGACTCATCGGACCCAAATTAAGCGATAAAAAAAGAAGACCCCAACGTCCAGCTCAAGTGGGTCCCCATCGCATAAATTCATTAATTTAAATTGAGAAGCGCGCGGCCAATTTATGGGCTCTCCTATCACCGACTATCGGCAAACTAAAGTAAAGATGCTCAGCCGCCGCGACTTGGAGGGGACACGGAGGCTTAGAGACGAGGCATTATTAATACAAATCCCATGCAAATTAACGAGAAGTTTAGTTGATCTCTGCCGGTCGCACGCTCACTTTGTCGAATCGAACAGCCCGCTCACCTCTCGATATTTATCCATTTTAGTGGCTTAGGAACTATTATGCAATTAGCCAGCCGGGGGTGCCGGGGTATTAAACGATTAGAGCCTATGGAAACATAAATTTTACTACACGACTTCAGCGCCCACTTAAGATGTGCGTGTGCCTCTTGGGCTTGGGGTCTTGGGGTTCTGAGGGAACGGTTAACGACCTGCAAATAAAAATTTGCATAAGCCCCAATGAAGTAGAGTAAAGTGGTCTGAAGTGGATAGCAGTGAGGAGTGGAGCGGAGTGGAGTGAGGAACTGGACCATTACTTTCGCAAACTGCCTAATTAGTCAACGGCGACTACGGCAAAATGCGATTATCCCGATTGCTGCATAAATTTCAATAAACACACGAGCCACACGGGGAATTGGAAGGGAAAATCGAATCGAAAGGCTCCACTGTGTCTGACATCAAGCCAATTAACCATGCTCGTGTCGTGGTATTGAAAGTCACGATTGTTGCGTGTGCCGGAGCATCAAGACGAGTTCTTTGCGAGATTAATGGCTCTGTTTTGTGGGGCCCATCAATTAGAAAGCAGTCGAGTGGCAAATCGCAGACAGCACGACGCTCCGAAAAAACAGAATCAGGGAGTCTCTGTGTGTATCTCCGCCGCGACGATTGGCTCACCTTGAAGAACTTGCCCAGGGCCTTGTAGTCCAGGCCGTCGGAGCAATTGAAGACGACGCACTTCTTGGCCACTGCCTTCGCCAAATCCTTGCAGGTCTCCGTCTTGCCAGTTCCGGCCGGTCCCTCGGGAGCTCCTCCCAAGCACAGCTTCAAAGCGCCCATCAAAGTCCTGTGGAATTCCAAAAAAAATATATGTTTTACAAAGAGTTGATGAATGGGATGGGTTGGGGCATGCTTTTAATATCTATTTTGCATTTTTTCACATTTCTCACGGTAGCAGCTTAAAAAATTGTCATTTATGGGATTCTTGTTCACCCCCAAAACAGGAAGTATAATGGTGTTTTGGGGAACATGGACTGGATTATCTGGTTTGTCGATAGAATAAGCATGAAGTCCATTTTGTGAAGTCTTTATGTTTATAATTTAATATCTTAATCAAAGCTATCATCTCCTATTATTTCTTTTTAATATTTTTTAGTATTTGGTCTTTTATTTTTTTACTTAGAAACCCTTTGAAGGCATATTTCTATTCGACTTGCTCAAATAAAAAACCATACCATTTCGTACAATTCTTAGTTTTTTCTGCTTGTTTTGCAAGTTCATATTTTTATCATATTGGCAGTGTCCCCACTTTGGTTGCCTGTGCATATATTTTTTAGCCTTTTCCGGCATAACCGTACAAAAATCTATATATACACTCGGTTTGGTTTTTTGTTTGTCTGTTTTTCGTCCTTTTTTTAACTATCCATGCATGAGTGTTAGTGTGCTGTGTGTGTGTATGGCTGTGTGTGAAAAACTGTCCAACATTGATTTATTTGTTTAATATAAAAGTTTTATCGGAAACCCCATTAAAATGTCCTTTCTGCCGGCTTGCCAAACGACGCCTGCCAGCCAGCCAGCCTGCTACCAGTTTGTGTGTGTGTGTCCTTCTCTTAGTCCTGAATCCAGGACTTTGTTGTCCTTTTTGTTGTTGCTCTTGTTGTTATTGTTATTGTTTGTCGTAGGCAGCTTAAACATCAAAAAGGTTTTCAGCTCTTTTTGCGTATTTTGTTTGAAAAATGAAAATAAATTTAAAATGCACCGAAATAAAATAAATATTTTTCCAATAAACGGGGCTGGCTTCTCGTCTGACTTTTAGATGCAGCCTGGCTACTGGTTGCAAAAAGGGTAGTCTAGGGGGGCTTTGGCAACGGTTTGTCAATTAATATTTTCGGTATTCATATAGGGGCACGGGATTTGTGTAAGATATAGAGTGTCCATATTGTATGGTATAGTATGGTACTGACCGGTAGCAACGATCCGTGAGGGGAGTGACCACCAGGCGGGGCAGGTTGCCCAGGTATTCCATGCCGTACTGGACATCTGTGACCACCATGCTAACGCAGACCCATTCCTCGTTTTCTGAAAAGTATAATATTCGGGGATTTATAGCCATAGTTGTGGTGTTGTTCAGTATCCCCCAAAACAGAGCCACTTACTGTCGTTGACTTTCCAGTAGTAGCGCAGCTGGGAGATCCAGTCAAAGTCCTGTATGTTGGATATCCTTATATCAGTCAGATACTTGACCACATCACGATCTGTAAAGGTGAAAAAGAATAGAACATTTAAGAGTTTTAAAGAGGCAGTGTGGCACCCTCTCGACCTACCATGCACATCCAACACAATCAACGCCTCCACGGCTATCCGCACTCCGGTCTGCAGATCCGTGCGCACCAATTGCACCAGGTCGGCAATCTGCAGATTGGACTTCTCCAAATAAGCCGGCAGCGTCTTCGTCTCGATGGCCTCCTCGACCTGGGGGGGAAACGGAAAAAGTGCAGCACAGAGGGCCATAAAATGTCTAAGAAATGGCAGCGAAGCGAAGGCAAATAAAGAGCGAAATATGATTTTCAATTTCGCTGTTGGAGGACTGGCACAGTTCTCCCTCGAAGTCAAAGCCCAAAAAGGAAGCGCTTACAAAGGAGACCTATGCTGGGGGAAACAACAGCTAATCCCATGACAGAGGCTAAAGGGCCAGAGTGCCCCCCTTCTGACAGCCGGCTGATGGACATCCGCTGTCCAGCAGACGACGCCCTTGTGGTTGCCGCGGTTTTCCGTCAAGTCGATGGACTCACCTCGTAGGTCCAGGCCATGCAGGATATGCCTTGGACCACCTGTCCGGGCCAGCTTACCACCCAGGAAATTCGCTCCACCATGGCGTAGTCCTCCCAGGCCTCGTGCATCTGCTCTTTCACACTGTCCAGCATCACCATCTCCACCTCCTTCAGCCAAATCTCAACAAGCCCCTTCAAAAGCCAATGGGTAAATTATTAATGGGAATTTCTGAAACAGGGGGAGAAGCTCACATTGGCCGCTTGCGGATTGATTTTGCGCACCAGGGCGACACGTTCTTCCTCGTCACTAATCATCTCGGTAATCTCCATCTGCTCGTCAAAGTTTAGGGAGCCAATCTAGGTATATCCCACATATTATAAAGTATGAAATAAATAAAAATTACGAATAAATTCAAAGACTTACGCCCTCAAAACACTTTCTCAGATGTGGCTGCACTCGCATCGGGTCCTTGGTCTCCGAAAGGATCTCCAGTAACTCATCATTGGACAAGAAGAAAAAGCGGGCAAAGAAGAGGCGTTTCTGCTCCAGGTAGGTGTTCAAACCCTTCTGGACCGTCTCGAGATCCTCAATGGCCTTTGTGAAGATTTCCAACATCTCCGGGTACTCGGTGGCTGCCATCACATGGCGATCTATTAGGGTATGCTTCATGATCTTTCGCCACAGCTTGTCCACGGCCTTGAAGTTGCGGCCCTCGAGTGGCATTTGTCGCATGATGTCTTCGCTGCTGAAAATCGGCTCCAAGTACATCCAAGTTATCTGCACCTGCGTCCATGCATCGATGATGTTCTGGATGAGGAGCAATCGCGCCTCCCAATCATCCGCCTTCGACCCGAGGGCCACGATAAAGGGCGATCGCTTCATGGCCTGGGTGCGCATTATGTGGTCGTCCAGGAGTGTCTGAATATCGTCGATACTGGCCAGAATGTGGGTGTCCGAGTCGCGGTATTGAATAATCTCGAACATCACGTCCTTCCAGTCGCTCTGCATGATTCTCAGTCCGTTGTTCAGGTCGTACTCCTTTCCTGCCGCATTGGCAATCTCCTCAAGCTGTGGCAAAATGCTCATTATGTCCACATCGATCATATCCTTCAGTGTGGGGAACAACTTCGGGTTGACCTTGCGACCCATGATTTTGGAGATCTGGTCCCAGTGCCGCTTTTCCAATCCATGCCGACAAATCGAGTCCAACACGGGGAGATATACGCGGAACTTTTCAATCTTCATACGAACCTGCTCCGCGGCTCTCTTGGCCACAGGATTGTAGGCCAATTGCCGGGAAAGTTTGTATATAATCTGGTCAAGAAAAGAATAAGAGATTATAAGAGGGAGGCACCATTACTTTGCCTAGAAGTTCCCACTACATTCTTACTTGTTTCTCGTTATTCAATTTAAATATTTTCTTTCGCAATAGTTTATAAAATTTAACATTTTTAGAAACTTTCACTATTTTCCTAACAGGAAACATAAAAACGTGTAACTCCCTAGCGTATCCTAGACTTTGCCTCCAGAAAGACTGAAAATTGTTGTTGGGTCTCTTATGTCCCCACTTTGCCGCTTCAGTTGCGCCAAAAAATTGAATCCAACTGACTTTCCTTTTGCGCCTTTGTGCTGATTTTTTTGCGTGGCTTCGGAATGGCTTCCCACAGGCACCTAAAGGGGTGGCCCTTGTCTCTGGCTGTCCTCCAAAGAGGGGCCCACCAATACCTAAACCAATCCCCTACTTTGAATCCTCATCTTTTGCCGCCAAATATGTTGGGCATTTTTTCTATGCATACTTTTCGGCTGCCAAGTGGAACTTTCCTACTTTTTTTTTAGTCGACAACCAACAAATGGTTGTAGCTCGACTTGGTTTGGAGGGCTACTATTGCTGCCCTAGGTGGCCTGAGGTTTTTAGTTGCATTTTAGTTGCTACATTGGCTTACAGAGGAACAAACGGGCAGAGGGACCGACCGACAGACAGGCGGGAGCTCACAGAACGACAGGACACAAAGGAGCTGCAGCAGGACCCATGCATGGGCAGTTGAGCAGCAGAAATCCGACAACAGCTCAAACTTTGTCGGTCGTTGCTCGTTTTTATTTCCGCCAGCTACTGGGGCTTCTGCTGGAGCTGCTGGAATGACAACTTCCGACTTTGCAACTACTTACCTTGTGCATATTCTCCACTTGCTCCCGCACGCCATCCGCATTAAGGCATTCGAAGCGCTCGAACATCCTGGAAACACCAGAGCAGATGTAAATAGAAATACACGAAAAAGGAACTCCAAATGGAGCAGACGGTGGGGTAGGGGTTGGGGAGCTGGGGGAGAACCTTCATCATAAGCGGTGGCTCAGAATCGGAACCACTCAACTTTTTGCTGGAATTTCGCCCTGGGTTGGGAATTAGTATTGGGATTTGCGTGCAGCAATGTCAATGGAAATGACTGCCGGACCGGGGCCATTTCAATTTCGAATATTTGGAAGTGTCATACCATCGCCCCCGGGCTGACAAAAGTATAATTGCCCTGGGCTTCCCATTCACTCCCAGGCTTACCAAATAAGATAATCCTTTTCGAACTCGTATGATGTCTTCCACAGCTTCTCGATGGGCTCCATTTTCTCGATAATCTCTGCGAGGAGGGGAAAGGCGGACACATCGATTTGGAGAAGTACTTCCTCTATATTAATGGCCTTGGCCTCTCTGCTTAGGTTCTAGAGATTGAAAAAAAAAGAATTGGTAACAAACAGTAGGAGGGTTATGATATGCCAATATCAAAAGAGTACTTTAATAAAGTCCTTTAAAGAGCTTCCATCTGAGAACCCAACATATTCAAGCCACAACCTTCATGTTGAAGCCCAAGATTCCAAACAAAACCGTATAAATAAATAATGGATAAGTAGCTACAATCGCTCACCTCGATGGTGGTGAAGAGCAAGTCGACCGTATCCACCCGCTCCTTGAGCTCGTCGAGCGTGAGCACATCCCGGATTTCCCGGATACGGAAGCCGTCCATCGTACGCTTCTCCTGGGCCAGCAGCTTCTCGAACTCCATCCGTCTCTCCCTGTCAGGATGAGGAGTATTAGTATCGGGATCTGTCCGGGATCAGAGTCTAATCTGCATGCCACTTACCGCAGGGCCATCTCCAGATTATCGCGCACCACCGCTAGACGGGCGGCGCTCAGGTCCAGGACCTCCTCGAGTTCGCCGGGCAGGATGAATGTGCGCGAGTTGAGATGAAGTTCATCGCCTGTGGATGTGGCAGACGCAGACTATAGGAATCCACTCGATTTCTGACTGCTAATTTACTGCGCTTAACTCCTAATTAATTGGCCCAGCGAGTCTTTCTTTTTCCCCGAGACAAACTAATTAATTATACGCATATGTTCAAGTATTTTGGGGTCCTGACAAGCCGCATCCGTCCGCATTTGGTGTGACAAAGCCACACGGATAGGCACCAGCCAGACAGACAATCTGAAGTACACATTGTAGCTATTCGAAAGATACACACGACACTCGAGGATAACTCGCAATTGTCTGGCTGTCTACTGCTGGTTTGTGTGTGCATGAGTATCTTTGTATCCGAGTATCCGAGTATCTCGGCATCTCTGGCGTATCTGTGGGCATTTGCCGTCTGCATTTGTCGGTTGTCAAAGCAACTTTCACACATTCATGAATTTGTTAAGCTCATTAAGTTGCATTTTCGGGGTTTTAGCGGAGCTCAATGTTTGGTGTCTCACCGCAAGTAATTATAAAACCAATTAGTAGACTCAGCTTGTTAGTTGAGGTTAATTATGTTAAGCGAGGCTGCACTTCCTGCCCCTTACCCGTCGAACTCGCTAACCATTCATCCGCCCCATCCTTCCTGACTTCCTTCCTTCCCCCCAATTCTCCCTCCTATCGCAAAAGCCAAACACGGAGAAAACCAAACACACTAACTGCACAGGAAAAAATCTGTCTAGCTTTGTAAAGTGTAAAGGTTGTATATGGTTTTTCTAAAAATAGTTCCCTTTTTTGGTTCCCCCTACATAACTAGCCCCACTACACCACTAGTTGGTACTTTTTTCTCACTGTATGGGTATGGGTCAGAAATATAGGAGAAAGAGCTCGCTTGGTCAGCTGCACAAACAGCGAAAGGAAAACGAAGCTACAACAGAAGCGCAAGAGTGGAAAAGATGGGTGCCTGGTTGCAGGAGCGCTCCTGCCCTGACCAGGTCAGACCAGGCCAGATCCAACCAGACCAGACCAAACCAATTGCATCACTCACTGGACAGGTAGGTGTGTGTCAGCAGGAAGACGACGCGCTTCAACACGTTCTTGATTTCATCCTTGATGGCGAATATGCGCATCTCCCGGCACTCGTTGATGTAGTTCTGCAGGGCCACCACCTCCGGCGTCTCCTCGGGCCGCTCGCCCGCCTTCATCGACATCTCCTCCAGCTCCTCGCAGATGCTGAAGTGGCAGAAAAAATCAGTCCACACACACATGGATAAAATATATGTATGTATATGAATGTATGTATATATATGGAGCTATCTATTAAGTGGCATTGGGGGCAGTCAGCATAAAAGTTAAGTGAAAGAGCACTTGCACTTCATTTAGCTGATGCAATCTGTTCCCGTCGCTTGGCTACTTACGCTCGATTCTCGTTCCAATTGAGGGCTTTGTAAAAATCAATTATGAAATCGTAGATTTCGCGCACATACATCCGCAGCGATAGCTTCACGTGGCGATTATCCAGCATGAACAGGTTGAGCGGAATGAAATCGCGCAGATAATAGGTCGTATCGCTCACGGCCTGCAATTTTTTCAGCAGCTCCATCACCGGCTGCAGGTCAGGGGTGTGGCATCCGAAGGGTAAAAGGATCAATTTATAAGGACTCGTGGAAAAAAATAAGGAATATAAATATATCTAGTGTTGGTAGTTTAGGAGTGTAGGTTTCCTTATTTGTTTAACTATTAATAACTATTAATTAAATAAATTTATATAGAAAATAATTACATTAACATATTTCACTCGCTAAAAGCTTTTCTAATTATATTAACTGTTTGCTTCAAAAATCGATGCAGTAATATAGTTGAAAAAGCTTATCTCCACTCCTAGTTCACTCTCGTAGTTAGAAAACAATTTAATCAAGTGAATTGCATTCGGAAAGCCAGTGCTTGTTAATTTAAATTAGCAGAGCTTCGATTTTACGACTAATCGAATGAGTGCAATCAGGATGCAACAAACAACACCCCCTCGTAAACACCGAGGCGCCACCACTGATCCGGTGCAGTGCTGCATTCCTGATGGTGCGGACCCAGACGCAGTCGCATTTCATGCATCGACAGCCAGCAGGCACCCGGCAGCATACGCAGTCGGAAGTAATTTTTATTTTATATAAATTGCATAAAAAAAGCAAGTCAAACCAAACGAATCGAGAGGAGAGGAAATTGCTGGTCGTTTCATAAAACTTAATGAATGCGAACTGAAAACTGCACTGGGGGGTGCTGCGGGCGGAACGGTTTGCGGCGCAAATGGAGCGCATGAGATGGCATCTGTAATGCACGGCTGTCTAAAATTCGAACAATCAACAGGCTGCCAAGCCAAACAGCCAAACAGCATCTAATTAAACATTGCACACAGTCAGCCAACTGCCAGAAATCAAGGGCAGAAACGGGGGAACCCTGCACGGCAGGCGTTATAATCCGAATTCAGACAAGGTGGAGCTTGTCAAATTACACAAAATTGCCAGGCACTTTGCCGTGGCAGGACCCCTCAACCCGTTAGCCTGACGCTTACATCCACCAAGTCCTGTCACCCGGCCTGTCTGACTGTCGGCAGTCTATTAATATTGCATAATGAAATTTTATGTTAATTCTACGCATCATTGCGTGTAATCAAATCGAAATAAATAATTAAATACGTTTCAAGACGCGAACCAGCCGCGGTGCCTCAAGCTTGCCTACTGATTGCCGGATAGACCCTTATACTCACCCCCAGTTCCGGCAGGATATTCTCCGTCCAGACCTTCTCCACCATGGGCATTATCAACTTGTTGAAGAGTCCGAAGTAGTACTTGTAGACGGGCTTGAGGTAGACGTGCACTCCGCGCCAATTCACCTGGACTATCTGCTCGACTTTTTCGCAAAGAGCCATAAAGTCAGTGTGATCTTCGTCGATATAGTGCAGGTACCCATGGGTTTCCGGCTCTGAAAATGGAGTTTTCGAAAGGATTTTCCAAACTACAAGTATCCAATACCTACCGCCTCCCGACATAACATACTCCAGGCGAGGTATGTCATACCCCACGGCCAAAATGCTCTTGAAGTGATCGACGAACAAGCGGGGCAGCTCCTGCATGTAGGGGTATATGTAGAGTTTGTGGCTGTGGTCCAACTCAAACTGGGCCACATCATCAATGTCAGGAGCCTGAGGAATACAACAATATTATTTAAACAAATTCCCCTAAAAGCCCACTTACAGTCTCCACTAGCATGTGGGCCTGAGGCTGTTGGAAAGGATCGGCATCGTCCTCGTCGTAGACATATATGTTCGTGGCCGATCGGACCCCTGGACCCATGTCGATGGGCTCGTGGTCAAAGTGAGCGCCCACCACGGAGGCGACCAAGGTCACCAGCGGGATGCGTTTGAGCTTGGAATCGTACATGGAGTACTTATCGATACGGTTTCCTTCTTTAAAGGCACACAGCACCTTGAAGAGGTAATTGATGCTCTTGCTGATGAGGCTGTTTAGGTGGCGAGACATGGCCGCGTGGATGCAGCGGAAGAGAGCGGCCGCCCGGCCACCATACTTTCCAGACATGGGGACCATATCCTTCCAAGTGTTTCGCATTTCGTTCATCAGATCGGCGCAGCGGGGTAGCCAATCGTTGAGGAGCAACTGCCAAAAGAGTTTGGTGTCACAGGGATTTGGATCTGGTTACGCTACTTACATCCCGGACATTGGCGCAGCTCTGCTTGATAAAAACCTGGACTGTATCCGCGTCCAACGGTCGCTTGGCCAGGAGCAACTGTGCCATGTCCACTACTACAAGGTCTTCGTACAGGTCGTGCCATAGGCGGTTAATCGCCTGGACTGTGGGATGGGTGATCATTAGCACCTCACCGATGTGGGACTTGGCCCGCAACAGATTCGAGCGCCAGGGAACCGGCGAAATGATTGTAAAAATGGGAAAATCTGGGGGCTCCTGCTCCAGTTGCAGGCGCTTTCTCTCCATGTTGGACCTGGAAAAGTTTAATTACTATAACTGGGAGCCAAAACAATGAACGGCTCACCCCAGAAGATAATTGAGAAAAGCGCGCTTCACATGGTAGCGAAAATCCTCCTGCAGGTCGATGAGACACACCATTATAAGGATGGCCCTATCCTTGCGCTTAACAAGGTCGCTCACGAACATATAATCCATTAATATAATTTCTGGCGTCAGGTGGGGCCAGAATTTCTGTAATGAGTTGATTAGATACGGACAGGCGGTGAAAAGGGACCGACAGGTGGCATAAACTTTACTGGCGCCCCGGGCAGTTTCAAATAGTTTTGGTATGGGTTAAGGTTCAGGTTCGGGTTCGGTATCGGGACTGTCTACCAAACATCTTCAGATGCTCATTAAGCCGCCTTCCCGGCACTGATTTGCCAGAGATGATGGCAAGTGCTTGGCTTAAATCCCTGCCAAAGTTTGTTTTGCGCTCACGTCAAAACATCAACACGCGCCCCGTTACTTGTCATCCCAATAACCCCATCAAGTCCTCACCCGCCTCGTCGCCCGGGAGCATGTTTAATATGCTCGCACTGCCGGCAAACTTTTTCGGCGAAAACTTCGCCGAAGTCCTGAGCCAGCCTCTGATGAGCGCCAGTTAAGTTTACTAATAATGTCGACGCTAACTCTTTGTCGAGACGCCATCTCTGTTTGCATTAACCCGTAAAGCTAACAGTGGGCTTCTTTACTGAAATCTACCAATCTTTGATCTCATTCATATATACTACTACTTAATTAACTACGTTATTATTCAAAAAACATTTCTTAGTCATCTATAATAATTTTCATTTTGTGTCCCATATTTTAAATCTATTGGGTACTTACCTCCTCCCTTTGCAGGTATTCCAGGACCTCAATTTCTAATCCGAAACCGAAACCTATTAGCCTGAAGGCCTTGCGAATTAGGTGCGAAGGATACGTCGACAGTTGCGTTATGGACATCTGCATTGGGAGAAGGATTTATGAAGAAAACATTAATGGGGTGCGATTCGTGCTAAAGTCAAACTCAAGCGGTTTCTTTTTTTAACAACTAATCACGTTATTCATAACTCTGACCACGCCCCCAGACCATAATATTTACGAGGTATGAATTATATAATTTTTATAAGCACGTTTCCTGAAGCCAGCGAAGCTTAATTTACTCGCACGCTCACGCACACATGTTTACTTTGTATGAAGTTTATTATTATCATTTTTTATGTACGCCTCGGAAACGGACACGGACCCGACCACGGACAGAGATACAGGGATACACGGACACTGATACAGATGCGGAGTGGGAGCAGGAACCAAAGCCAGAGTCGGAGAGTCAACGATAAAATTTATTTACGCCCGTCGCTGGTTCTCACTTTTGATGGGTTTTTTATGGTCTCGGTCAGGGAGTCATTGCGGCGGGGCATTTGGCTTTCGCTTTCCAGCTTTTTTGGCATATGTTTGGACAGTTGCATAATTCACAATTACTTAACGACACGTGGACCCCACCTGTATGAAAGCCCATGACACTTCCCCCAGACACTAATCCCCGCAAAATAACTCACGCTCTTTATGAGACACATGTAGCGTTTTTCGATCTTCAGAGTGAACTTGGCCTTAGCAGTCTTCAACGCAGCCTGGTACTTGACCATCATCAGCCGTTTTTGTTCCTCTGGATCCACTGGCTGCATAGGTGCCATATATGGAAAGCGACTAAAGTTCAAATAAAGTTAGTTACTCCAAATATATATTTATTCTTAAGCATACTCACGTGGCCTCCATTTTCTTGAGACAATGTAAAAACTCTTCGTTGGTTTGAAAGTCCTTGCGGTGAATCCTTTTGTTTTGTAGGCGGCAACCTTTTTTTACCTGTTGACGGAGTTTTAGGTAGCATCAGATCTGTTATATTATATTAAACACTAACCGGTGGCACAAAATAATTGCCGGCACATTTTTTTTTATTTTTTACTAAATTGGGATCGGGAGGTTCCTTTAGTCCGTGGCCAATGTTATGTTCGGCCTCTTTCACAATGGGCTTCAGCATCTCATCGATAACTTTTCCCACTCTCACCAACTCGTTGCGACACTCTGAATGTAATAAAGTGATAAATTAAATCCCAAAAGGGACAGGAGACACTGGTACTTGCCTTGGGGTGTGCGAAAAGCGTAGTGATCGCCCACAGTGAACTTATTCTTTTTCTTTTCCTTTTTAAGATTGTTGACCCGCAGGTGGCGCGCCGTTGGGGTCCTGTAGGCTCCGATTAGCTCTGAGGGGGAGCCGTGGAGGCGCCTCAGCTTATTCGTCCAGAGCGCGGATTTGGTGCCGCAGTCCGGAAAAAAAATCCGTACTCTCCGTTGACAGTAGATGTCCAAGAGTTGGCTGGTCATCTCATAGATTTCCTGCTCACTGGGTTTCACTGTCGATATGGTGTCCAGGAGTGGTGGGGAAGTGTCAAATTTTTAATAATGTTCGCTGAATAAATATGAACGTTTATTTATTACCGCCAGTCATCCATTTGTCAATCCAGGGAAATTGATTACAAGCTGAAAGCAGAAAAAACAAACCAAAGGTAAAATATAATGCAAAAAACAAATTGAAAATCGCATTTAATATTTGTCCACGAACTTGATATGTGGGGTCGTATATATTTCATATCGGCTGTCTGCACTTTGTAAATTTGATTTTACCCTTTCTTTTCGCCCATTTCAACGTGACTTTCACTGCGCCCGCGAGGAAACGCAAATAAACTTGTTTGGGCAGCCTGAAATTGTTTTAAATAAAAGTCACGCCAGCCAAGTTCGATTTTTAAATGATTAAACTGAAATTAATTTCCATTTCTGGCCGGCACAAAGGGAATTCCCCCAGGGTGAACCGGGCAGGGTTCGGGTCAGGATGGGCCACTATCGCTGGCTATCAGCGGCCACTGCAATCGGTTTGTTTGTCACATTTGCATGCTAATGTCGATGGGCAACACGCTTTTATGGCATTGTGTAACATGCTCCCTTATTAGGCTACGCGCCCAGCATCCCCCTGGGCGGGAGCTTCCATTCAGGTATTAAATATTAAAAAACTAGACACAAAAATGAAACATTTTTATTACAAACTAGTGACAAAAGTCGAGACAACAGAGATACCAAATTCTGTGCAGCCATCAAGGACGTGTGAGTACTCTTTTGTGACGAAAACAACTTTCAAGGACCCCCTCTTTTATATGCATTTTTGCACAGGTATTGTAGAAAATAAGTTTTTCAATAAAATTGAAATTTTAAAAAACTTTGTAATACTACGATGAATGAAAAACGAAATTTCACCTTAATTTGCAGAGTATTTTCAAGCAAAAAAAGGAAAACATAAAAATGTAACATGTAAATGCTAAATAAAACACTATGATAAACATGTTGGAGAGTCATTCAACCCGCCCTTGGACCCGACCCTGCGCCAGCCACTCCCTCTCCTCGTCCCCCGAGTGCCCTACACTCCCACAGGATATTCAAATAAATGTCATACGCATTTGTTTTTCGGTTTTACCTTTTTTCTCATTTCGGTTATAAAATTTTATGTTAAAAGGATAATGTTTGAAATTTTTATGTTTACAGGTGAACAATTTTCCGACGAGCTGCGCAGAGGGAGCGCAGATGGGGGAGATGTGGGAGTGCCATTCAAGGAGGAATCAACGAGTGGGAGCTGGGCGGAGGAGCCGGTTTGGCCTGGGCATGTTTTCGCATTTAATAAAGTATTAAGTGTTATGTTTTTGCGGTAAAGTTCTCACTCATTGAATAACGCAAAATGTCTGGCAATTTGTTTGCGCCTCTCCCACACCCGGCACCAAGAATAATGCGCAAATGTTGTTCCACTTAATTGTCCGCTGTCTCTGCGGTTGGCCCACACCTTTTAATATGGCCAATTTCACTCACCCGTGGAATCAAAGTTATAGGTGTGATCCTTGGCATCGCGCAGTGCCTCGAACTGCTCCGGCATCACGATGTCGTCCAGCTGCAACTCCTGCAGGCTGTCGTCGTCGCACTCGTCATACTTCTCCTTCACGTTGTCCAGATCATATGAGAAAAAATCGAATTCGCGGTTGCAGGCACCAACAATACTGTCAGTTTGCATGTGGGCTTTTTTGGGAAAAAGGATATAAATATATTTAGAGATAATCGCTCTTTGGGAAGAAATCCTTTCCAAAAGTGAATGGGATACTTTTATCAGCTATTCTCCCAAACTTAATACCCACATATCTTCTCCTGCAGGAACTCCTTGACCGGATCGAGGGGCAGCTGATCAAAGCCATACTTCAAGTCGAAGAAGGGGCAGTCGTTCAGCTGGCGCTTGTCGCCCTTTTTTTGCGCCTGCGAGGTTCGCGGCAGGTGGAGGGTCCTTTGCCGCCTAACCTTATCGTCCTGTAGCCGCGGATCGCAGTACGGACGACGCTCGGGCGCTACCTTCTTCTGCATTCTGCCAGGCTCATGGATTGATGCGGGAAGGGTTCTTAAAGGTGGAGCCTTTCGATTGCGGCTCTAACAGGAATCGGTGTGTGCGTGATCCTTCCGTCGATGTCGGTTTGCTAACGAATTGTATTCAAACCCAACACAACGAAACACGATTTCTAGTCTGCTCTCATTTGTTTCACTCTGTGCGGGGCATACTTTTCCAGCTCTAAAAAAAATTGAGGATGAAAAAATTACAGCTCGGAAGGCAAAAGTTTACACAGCAGCAGCGAAATATTTGCGGGCCAGCAACGAACGTGAAATGTTTACAAACAAAGTCCAGGCCCAGACAATGGGCACGGCCACAACCATGGCAACCGATGGCGTTCGGGGCAGGATCGGGGGCGTACGTGTAGCCCGGCAACCAGGACCGACTGGCAAAGGCTGGCAAGAAGCATAGGGATTTGGGAGGCCACTGAAGGTGGCAGCTACGCTGGCACTCCGTCAATGGCTCGTCTATCAAAGTGCTCAGCTTCTCTCGATAATATTTGATATTTGTGTCTGGCTTTGGAAAAGCATCTGCAGCTCCAACAGAAGGTACACTAAAAAACAAAATTAATGACTCCTTGGAAGAGTCCATATAAAATGAAAATATGATATACATACATATATTGTGATGCAGATGTTTTCGAAGTTGTTCGAATCTTCTTTTATAAGAAATTACCAAGAAAATGTTTTATTTTTAATTAAAAAGAGAAAAAACAATTAGGAAATGAAACAGACTACAGTCTTAGAGATGGTATAACATAAACAAGCTTTCGTATTTTATCGGCTTAAGTTGCCGCCATTTTTTTCGATAAATGTATTTCCACGTTCGTAGTTCGTTTGGTATCGGGTCTTAACCTTGACATTTTGAATTTCATTTTTAATTTCTGTTTAATAGAGAAAAAGAGTAGGATTTATTGAAGTGTAATCTTTAGATATTGATATAGTATTGAAACTATTTTTTGACCAATAAATTATTAAATAACTAAAATGCCAAAAACGAACTAATGTTTGAATTTATTTTCGCAGTGCACAGTTGGCCAGGTAGGGAGCGCGGCAGCTTTTCTCGAATTGTGCACACATTTTCCAATAAAGCTCTACAACTGCATAAAAACTGGTCCTAGAGCTCCTGGCATTCTGTGCATTTATTATCCTGTCTGTCTGCAAAGAGGAGCCTGAGCTGGAGAGGCATGGGAGGCCCTGGGAGGACTCGTCAATGAAGCTGATTATGTGTTGACAATGATGAAAAATAATATTACCAGCATGTTGAGGGCATCTAATAAGGCTCCCAACGGAAACTCGGTATGGGAATTCATTTCATAAGAGTCCTGAGCCGATTTGGTGATTATGCATGAAAATGGAATTTGATTCAGAATTGGAATACAATATCTTGATGAAGATGTCGCTGCACTTGCAATTAGCGCAACAATTAGTTGTGGCAAATTAATTGGAAATTTGATTAATGGGCAATTGTGGTCGCCTAGCCGTTGCGGTATCCCATTCGATTCAAAAGGCATTCAACTTTGACCAGCTTTGAGGGCGCTGGCGAATGCGGTTGCTGGCACACATGCTGAATAGTGTTTGTGAGTTAGCTGACAGTCGTGGGAATCCTACGGGCCAGGATCCGGCAACCAGGTCATCCGGCTCGCGCCTGTCACGTGCCTAAGCAATTGCAATTCCAACGCAATGCAGGTGCCACCGACAGGTCCTGCGGGGATCAGGATTCGAGGCCATACAGTAACCAACCTGGACTGCATGCATCCAAAGCCCTGTGTGACAAATATTTATTAACTGCCACAGCTAGAGACGCTTGATCTTAGCTCAGCAAGCAAATAAAAAATTGATTTGCCTCGTCAATTGTCACAAATAATGATTACCACGCATTTTCGACCCCATTCGCATCGATTCGATTCGATTCCGGACTTGAGACCGGGGGGCATGACACGCATCAAATTGCATTTAGTTTGTCATTGCGGGTGGGTGTCATTTTTGGGGGTGGGCCTCCGATCCGGCAGACAAAGGGCCGTAATGCGACGGCTGTCAGTCACGTGACCCCATTGCTAAATATAATATATCCGAACCGAAGGGGAGGCGCTCTACAACATCATTATTAACAGAGTCAACGAGCAGCAACAAAAGTCCGGAGCCTGCGAGTATGCAACACTTTTCGCCGAAACGGAAATAAGTCGAATCCAATCATACCCTAAGAAGCTTAACTCCGAGGGTATACCAAAATCATGTGTGTGCTATTGGGGACGAATAAGTGTGAGGCGGGATATGAAATTCGATATCGGATATGCGCCTTTTCGAACACAAAAGGAGTTATAAATCTTGGTAGTAAAAAGCATAAATAACTCAGTGACATTTGAGTACATGGAAAAAATGAAAAGTTTATATGGTATAGATATACAGAGTTTATTATGGAAACTCCTTGATTATTTCATTTTATTATAAGATTATAATATTTTTAATACAATTTCTCTAAACAGCTTTATTCCTTGAGAAATTCATAATGTATTTGTTTCTCTGCTTGTTGCTGTTTGAATCTATCTATATATTTTTAAATAACTACTAATTCTTAAAACCTACACGCTGGTGTATGTATTTAAGGTGTAAAATAGTGTTATATAATAATTAAATATTTTTTTAATAATTTTTTTAAGCTTAAAAGTAGTACGAAAGAAAAGTTTCTTTGGTAGATAGTAGAGTATAATTAAAGAACTGCCCCTTCAAGGAAATGTTGCTTTTTTATCTCCGCTCTCTTTCTTCCTTTTTATACCTTTCTCTGTCGCCGTTTCCCTGCCTCCATCCCCATTGTTTATTTGCCTCGAATCCGACTTTTTTTGCTGTTTGTTGGCATGGAGAATCGCATTTTGTCCACTTTTGCGCTGATTAATGGGCAGCGCTGGAAGACGTCGCGACTTGAAAAATTACATTCAAAATAAACGACAGAGGCGTCGTGGTCGGCGTTTTAAAACGGCCTGTCACACGTAAACGGGGGCAGGGGCTGCCACCCAAAGAGATGGGGGGAGGGGCAAAGGATAAGAAGGCCAGTGGCAGTGCGGCAGTGTCGCATATCAGGCATCAGGACGCACGTAAAAGATGCAACAGGAGCAAGAGCAAACACCGTGTGATTTACACGCAACTCGGGGCAAGGGTGGGGGTTGGCGAATGGGGTGGGCTGGGCTGGAAGGGGTCATGGTGCAAATTAGGGGTTGACGCTGCCGTGCAACGCACTCGGTTGTCAATTGAAAACGTGCCAACAATTTGCAACGACGATTAATCGTGCGACCAAACTGGGAGTTCCAATTGCCAGGAGTCCAGGAGGAGAACCTCCAACCTCCAGCTCCATGGCCAGACCGCTGTACCGTTTGTTGTCCAGCAGATCCTAGCTCCTGCCTGGCTGTTCTTCGTGCATGTTGCGTCGCATTTGCAGTCCTGTTTACGACGTCACGCCAACAAAACCGACATCCAGCCAAGTTTGCCCAGCGTCTGACTAATTCGCGTTGGCTCTATTAAGCATGGATGGAAATGGGAATGGAATGGGTATGGGTATGGGTGGGGGATTGATGTTGGGATTGGGATTAAGTTGCCCAGGCAGACGGCTGATGAGCACTTAATTCCCGGTCGCTAATTGGTTCCAAGATGAAAGACACACGCAACGAGGCAGTTGCAGCTTCGGAAGTCAAGCGATTTGCGGCTCGAGGTATATCAGCGGCAGTTAAAGCCAATGGCTTAAATCACGTCTATATTTATGACTGGTTAATTATCGGTCTGCGCTTAAATTTTAATCAATTTTCATTGCTAATATTTCTTCTGCTTCCCCATCGACGGCGTGCGCTTTTGTTATCATTAATAATGAATATAATTATGAAATGTCAAAGTGGGTAGAACACAACAAAAAATATATGAGCAAAAAATGCGAAATACAATCACTTTCTGTCCATAGATGCAGATACGGATACAGCCGATACACACACGGATGCAGATACAGCATCTCTGCGCACAACGGGCCATCATTAAAGGCTTTTGTATGCAATTACATGCCGCATTGAGCAATCGTAAATTAGCTTTGGGAGAGCGCGATAAAAAATAAAGCGAAATTCAATTAAATTATAAAATGTGCAAAAATTTAATGCCCATAATGAGAAATGGGACCAGATCATGCCCATATTAATCATAACAATTTGCAACTATTTTTTTTCAGCCTGTCGATTTGCTAAAAAATCGGTTACTGAAATCTGCCTAAGACGCATTCATATTTGTGTCAAACGTCAACAATCATCAATGGCCATTTTTTTAGAAAAGATTGGCCACACTTGGCCACGTGTTTTGACAATCGAACGCCACAAGTTTGTCGAGTGAAACTTACAACAAAAATCGACAAATCTACAAATTTTTAATTCCAAAGAAAGGCAATGGAATTGAAAGAGGCGCAAAGGGACTGGCCAACAGTGATATTGAATTTCTAAAAAAAAGAACACGTCTAGCCAACCCGGTTGCCGCTGTTAGGCCAGTGCGCCGTCTCTCCGATGACTTTAACATGACTGATGCCAGCGAACACATCTCCGGCCTTGAGGATGGGACTGCCGGAGATTCCAGACGTCTATCGGCCAACTTGGAGGCTGCTCCTCAACGTTCCGCCGAGCTACAACAAAGGAATGATCAGCAACCACCCATTCTGCCCCTCGTGGTTGCTAGCCACGTGGTGCCAAACAATCCCGTGCCATTGGACGTCGAGGACTTCGATCGCAAAAACTGGGACGACCCCTTCCAGGTTTCGCCCTACGCCAAGGATATATTCTCCTATTTCCAATCGCGAGAAGTGAAATTTCCTATCGGCGACTACATGGCGCGACAAAAGAACCTTACTACTGGTATGCGAGCCCTGTTGGTTGACTGGATGGTCGACGTCCAGGAGATTTTAGAGGTGCACCACGAAGCCCTGTATCTTGGCGTTAAGATCGTGGACTTGTATCTCAACCGCAGGGAGATTTCCAAGGAGAGGCTGCAGCTGCTGGGAGCCGCCGCTTTCTTTATCGCCTGCAAGTATGAGGAGCACAAGCCACCTGGAGTTGTTGACTTCCTCAATGTGTGCGACGGGACTTACAACCGCGAAGAGCTGTTGGCTATGGAGCGTAAAGTGCTCCGCGTTCTTAACTTCGACCTTGGCATTCCGCTCTCCTACCGCTTCCTGCGCCGCTATGCCCGGTGCGCCAAGGCACCGATGCCGACTCTGATGTTAGCTCGTTACATTTTGGAGCTTTCACTAATGAATTACGCGACGATCTCGTTCAGCGACTCTCAGATGGCTTCGGCCGCCCTATTCATGGCCCTGCGCATGCACGGTGGATCAGGACAACTACACCAGCAGACCTGGAACTCCACTCTGATCTACTACACTGGGTACCAGCTGGCGGAGTTTGCCCAGATCGTGCCGGTGCTGAATGCTGGTTTGCATTGCGACGAGCAAGCGGACATCAAGACGATAAGGCGAAAGTATTCTCATAAAATTTTCAACGAAGTGGCAAAAGTGCAGCTGCTGACCAACGAGGAGCTGTTCCGTAATAACCTGGATCTTCACGAAAAAAAAAGGACAGCCTCTAAATTTAAAAACTCCGAACATGCGTTTTAGCTCCCCAAATGTATCACAATTATAAATATTGAGAAGACCTATTCCCGCCTAATTTTTATAACAGACCTTCGGAGCTATAATGCTAGTCACCAACAATTTTGTAAAGAATAAATATTAAAAAAACCTCCTTCATTCAGCTCATAGTTTGTAAATTAAATTTTATATTAAATAATCCAAAACAAACTGAGGATAGTGTGGTGCAGTAACAAAAATCTGCTTAGCAAAGCACATTCTGCAAAGTCTGATAAAATGTTCGACCCGGGTAAATATTTGTGCGAATATCTGACGGATAAACCATGATGCCCAACTATGTGTTTCCATGTGGGTGTTATTTTTGTTTCGGCTTCGAGTATGTGTGAATAAATTCTGCAATGCGTAGCTCAAAATTTCCAACACGAAATTGTTATGGTTTTGCAGTCTTAACGATAAATGTACTGTACGGCCAGAAGCCGGAGGACTCCATTCAGGAGTTCATTCTAGAGTTTTGCATTTGCCTTATGCCCGAAAATATTTACTTGTGAGGAGATTGTTTAGTTAAACCATAAAAAGGCTGGCATGTCCGGGTCGGATGACAGTTTCTTCTTTTCTTCCTGTCTACGCCAGAAACAATGTAGCATTTAAGAAAATTTAAGCCGCAAGCGACTTAAAAACGAGGCGAGTCGAAACGAAACCCAACGAGAGTCCTTTTTTGGCCATATGATTTAGCCATCTGGTGATGTGGTTGTTGGTGCTTTTGCTGGGGATTTGGCTTGCCTTTGGATTTTTTGCTCATTGTCTTGTTCTGCTGCAGGGCTAAACAAAGGGCCAAAAGCCCAAAAGTGGATGGCTGTCTGGGAATGGGCCATGGGATATGGCTATGTCCAAAGCCCGGGATAGATGGATGGACGGGCAAACAATTGTTGTTTGTATCCTGGTTAGCTTTGGCCACTGCGGCCGCTTTGGCTGCTGTACAAATTAGTTTCTAATACCTTCAAGTCAAACAGTGGACCCGGAGACCTTTGCCTTTGCCTTTGCCCTTGCCTTGCCTCCGCCTTTGCTTTGCTTTTGATTTTGCCAGGCAAGCAAGCAAGCAGGGTAAACAGACAGGCTCAAGTCGGAGCTTTGAGCCTGCGATTCTCCGGCCAATCAGGCATGGTCGCATTTCGCCCCCAGGTCCTGGCCCTGGGTAAGTTTGCCGAATCACTTGAGCGTGTTTATGAAATAACGTTGACCCGAGTCTATACACTTTGAGACCCCCAGAGTGGGTGGCCCTGCGGAGTTGTGCTGTTGCCGGTCGCCTAATTACAAAACTCATCCGTTTTCGGGAGCGTCGATTGATTAACAGTAAATGGTATTTTAAATAGTTTCGCTTAGTTTAATTTGGCCCATTTAAAAGCGACTTCAAAGCATCTGGCCAAGTAAGTAGTTGCCCTCAAGATTGCGTAATGATCCAGACAGGCGTTTCTTCTTTTGAAAGTTCGACCGAGAACACAACCGCAGGACCATGTGGCAGGTTTAATGAGCTAACAGGATCCGAACGAGGGATTCTTCGCCCATTCCACCCCTAGATCCCTCGCTCACCGTTATCCTTCGTTTATCTTTGGCCAAAAGTTTTAAAATTAATTTTTAATTGTTTATGCAGCCAAAGTTCAGTGAAAGGGGAAAGAGCAAGAAAATGAGAAAATAAAAAGAACCCTAAGAGGTAACCGTTCTGCTTTTGGTCCTTCGAGACAAGTAATTAACCGATATTCATTAGACTAATAAAGTTACTTCATTAGAGGTAAATTATAGTATTTATAGATTCATATAAATGAGTTTTATATATCACATCTCTTTGAAAATAAGAATCTACAGATGTCTTTGTGGAAATACTTAGCCCAGAGATCTGCGACCTTGACTTGAGCTGTATCGGCAGCTGTGAATGCAAATTTCAAGACGATTTCAGGGGCAATAATCGGAGTAACAAAACGCCCATTGATAACGATCGTGCATAACAGTACTTTAAACTCGGATGGAAGCCATGGAAGAATGGGTATTACGGCCGGGAAATTTGCATAACACTGGGCCAAAAGAGTTGACGGCGCGATGTCAGCACTAAAAGCAACGGAAAACAGAGGCAATGCTTTATAAAAGAAAATTATGCAAATTGCTAATAAATTATAGTGAACCAGCGAACGACATGTAAAATAATAACAAGCGGACGGAGTTGGTGAGCGACTCTTTTTTTTGGGGAGAGGAGGTGGCCGCGAATTGAATTACAAATGTAAACACAATGCCACAGGACGAGGACACAGGACCAGCAGCAGAGGAGCTTCAGGACAGGACAGCACGGTAGAGGACACGGGATGGGGCCATTGCGAAATCATTAAAATAATAAAGCGCCGTTCGCTGTTTTCAAGACGACAACGACGCGATGACGACGCTGACAACAGCGACAAGGATATTAACTGGCGAGCGGATAATGGCGAAACTTTTTGACATTTATTGTGTTTGTGTCGAATGTTTATTTATGATTGCACGCGGCTGGGCCGGGGTCTGGCCGTATTTACATTACAATGATCAGAAGAGCATAACTAACGTCCACATCCCTCGATTTCCATCGCGACTCCACTTTACCCAGTCCCAATTTCGCAATTCCCATCCATATCATGTGCTTGTTTGCCTTTGCGAATGCGTATTAAATTAATGATACTTTCTAGTTCATAAAATTCGTTATGCGAGAGTTCCCGGCTCTGATTCTGATTCTGAATCAGATTCCGAACAGAAAGAGAACCAGAAATCTGTTTTGTGTGCGAGTATCAACGTCAAAACACAAATCAAATAATCACATAAATGAGACCATGACACTGCCACACAAACACTCATGTGGCGGGTGGTGCCTATTGAATTGAAACAAATTGATTGTCATGAAACATCGTTTATACATATTATAATGTGTCATCGGATGTTCATGCTTCGCTACATACTATTAGGACGAAACAAAATCCGCCGAAAAACACACAGTCCAACTTCCATAACTTCAACGGCCATCTGCTGCATTTTAAAATTGCGTTAAGGGTTTTTTCGAGTGGAAAGAATTATATTCTTCGCGGTTGTTTATTGAATTTAAAAAGTACTTTACCAAAAATGATAAAAATTACTAACCAATAGAGAGGAGATTTTATAATAACCTAAAAAACAAATAGTCTTAATGAGACTTCTTTTGTGACTATTACTTATGTCCTAAATGCTAAAACTCTATTAGGAATTTGTTAAATAGTTATTAAATTTTTTTGTAATTTTATAGTTCTTATTGAGAATATTGTTAAGCATTAAAGCCTTAAATAAAGTAAACTTTCGAATATATTTTGTTATTTTTTGAAAAATTGTACTTAGGGAAACTCCACTATATTAGCATCCTTAACTCCATGGCATGTTTTCACAAGTGGCGATGTGAATGATTGCGATAAAGATGGCGCTGCTCGGTATCGGGAGGATGTGGGATACTTTTGGCCCCTTTACGAGGGCAATAGTTGAGTCTCCCTAGCAACCGCTAAAGCTCGAGCACCATCTCCGACTCCAGATGAAACCGAAACGCAAAGCTCGCAAAATTTATGGTTGTTTACACCAGATTGCACACCCCATTTGCTTTGTTTTGCACTCGCTGCCACTTGACACACATTTTGGGCCAGACCAAACCTCAAGATGACGATGACTCTTGAATCTTGGAGGGGTGTGAGTGCCCTCCTCGCCAAACATTAAAAAAACAACTAAGATACTTGCACAATTTTGTCTCTTTAATTAGTCCAAGGACAACGCAAAGGGGGACCCGCGGGAGTGGCAAAGTGAAAGTGCCCCGACATCATATGCATGATTTGTGAAAAGTTTCCAGTACCGCCCGGCACTTTTTCCTCCTTTCCCGGCGAACAGCTTGTTTTGCCAAGTTTATGAATTTCATAGCCAAAGTTTTTCGGCAGCGCATAACATGCTTCGAACTTGTAAGCTACTCCTGCCTCTGCCTCTGCTCCTGCTCCTGCTCCTGCTCCAGCTCCAGCTCCTTGGTTATTTTCATGTCTCGTCTCGTCCTTAGCCCAAGGAACATACTTTCGAAGAAATCTTTGATATTAAACTGTCGGATGTGTGTATACATTATGGCTAAGCCTTGGCACCTGCGTCCATAAAGTACTCCGATCAGCCCTGGATCCATCGACGTTATTAAATGCGTACGAAAATATTAATATGATACAATAATTAAGCGAGTACCTACGCATTCACACAGAACAGCAAATAGAACTGGTTATGAGTGTTGACTGGAATTATTATTTACTTTTTGCCTTTTGGAAATGATTTTCCGGTCAAAACACAATTTGCAACTCATTCAGTGAAATTACGTTGCGCAGCATCCCAGTTGAGAATGAAAAATATACGTTTTATTTTTCCGCTTCGAAATACTTCATTAATATCAGAGTTAATTATAAAAATGTAGTAACTTTTCTTTGTCAAATAAACGTTAAAAATATTGGCAAAACGAATCAAACATCTGGCAGATCGTGCGGCCCGTGCGACCTTTGCAGGCCATCAATCATGAGCGGTTCGTTGAACTCCGTCCGTCTTTGGGCATTATACTTGTGCTATAGTAGTACGCAAATTACCGATAGCCACTTGAGAAATTAACGCTCGAAACTATTAATAAATGCCCATGCTGTGTGAGTAAACGTATGCTGTCATTAAAATGTTCAAATAGTTGTGTGTTTTTGCATTAGATCTTGTTAAGAGGGCCCGATGCTCGCTCTTGACCGTGAAGCCAGAGATATGGCCGGCCATATAGGAGTAGCAAAAGCAATATCAATCGGATCGAATCGAAGCAGCGAACGGCAAATGAAAGCGAAACGCCGAGCATTTAGTTGTTTAGTTCCGCACTGGGCAACTTCTTCAACGGGCACCTCCACCTGAGTACAATGGGCCCTGGTGGGCCTATTTGGGAGTCAAAACAAATAGCTTTTCCCAGCAATATTTTAGAAAAATTAAAATAAAAAAATTTCTAATTTTTAAACCATTCTTGGACATAAAATAACCCAGTTGTGGTGAAAAATATTCAACATCCAATACTTATAGAAGCCTGATATTGAATAATACATTATTATAATATAATAAATGCAGCGTATGACTTTATAGATAAACTTTATAACCATTCACATTATCTATTATTTTAATTATAAACTTCAAATATTACCCACTGTTCGCAAACTAAACCAGCTACCAAATGAACCCAATCTCAAGACATCTACGTAACTGGGAGAAGGAGATGGGGGCACTTGAGGGCTCGAGTGGCGCATGTTGGGGCTTTGGCCAGATTCATTGTTTTTGTTACCGATTCAGATTCGGACTCGGAGTCGGAATCGGTTTCGATTTCCGCTGCTGTTTGCTGGCAAACAAAGCCCCTCTCGGCGTTGGTCTTAGCCAAGCGAGGCCCGGCAAACATTAGAGCGTATAAATATGCCGACAAATTGGACGATTAATCATTCGACCCATAGATTCCATCGTCACAACAATTAGCTTGGAGATCTATACCACAATGGTGAATACCAAAACAGGATCAGGACCCACAGGATTACCTTACTAAAATTTGTTTGTATCCCAATTGCAGAAACTTTTTTTAGCGTGCATCTTTATTGCCGCCGCGACGGCTGCAGTGATTCCTGTCGAACAAGCCAGGCACCGTCGCGACGTCTCCGAAATCGTGAGCGAGTACCTCCCACCGGCGGAAGAAGTTGCTCCAGGAGCTCCTCTTGAGGAGATCGCCCCGTTGCTAGACTCCGCCGCTGTGGGAGAAGATGGATACCGCTACAAGACCGTTCGCCGATTGAAGTACCGCCAGCGCCGGGATGTCTCTGAGATTGCCAACGAGTACCTGCCCCCATCTGAGGAGGTTGCCACCGAGACTCCCATTGAGGTAGCTCCCGTCGAGGAAGCTAGCCAGGATTCCGCTGTTCTTGCTGCCGATGGTTACCAGTACAAGACTGTCCGTCGCCTGAAGTACCGACAGCGCCGTGATGTCTCTGAGATCGCCAACGAGTACCTGCCCCCATCTGAGGAGGCTGCCACCGAGACTCCCATTGAGGAAGCTCCCGTCGAGGAAGCTAGCCAGGATTCCGCTGTTCTTGCTGCCGATGGTTACCAGTACAAGACTGTCCGTCGCCTGAAGTACCGACAGCGCCGTGATGTCTCTGAGATCGCCAACGAGTACCTGCCCCCCACCGAGGAGGTTGTTGCCGACGCCCCTGTTGAGGAAGTCCCTGTTGAAGAAGCCAGCCAGGATTCTGCTGTTCTTGCTGCCGATGGTTACAAGTACAAGACTGTCCGTCGCCTGAAGTACCGCCAGCGCCGTGATGTCTCTGAGATCGCCAACGAGTACCTGCCCCCCACGGAGGAGGTTGTTGCCGACGCCCCTGTTGAAGAAGCCAGCCAGGATTCTGCTGTTCTTGCTGCCGATGGTTACCAGTACAAGACTGTCCGTCGCCTGAAGTACCGACAGCGCCGTGATGTCTCTGAGATCGCCAACGAGTACCTGCCCCCCACCGAGGAGGTTGTTGCCGACGCCCCTGTTGAGGAAGTCCCTGTTGAAGAAGCCAGCCAGGACTCCGCTGTTCTTTCTGCTGATGGTTACAAGTACAAGACTGTCCGTCGCCTGAAGTACCGACAGCGCCGTGATGTGTCTGAGATCGCCAACGAGTACCTGCCCCCCACCGAGGAGGTTGTTGCCGACGCCCCTGTTGAGGAAGTCCCTGTTGAAGAAGCCAGCCAGGACTCCGCTGTTCTTTCTGCTGATGGTTACAAGTACAAGACTGTCCGTCGCCTGAAGTACCGACAGCGCCGTGATGTGTCTGAGATCGCCAACGAGTACCTGCCCCCATCTGAGGAGGCTGCCACCGAGACTCCCATTGAGGAAGCTCCCGTCGAGGAAGCTAGCCAGGATTCCGCTGTTCTTGCTGCCGATGGTTACCAGTACAAGACTGTCCGTCGCCTGAAGTACCGCCAGCGCCGTGATGTCTCTGAGATCGCCAACGAGTACCTGCCCCCCACCGAGGAGGTTGTTGCCGACGCCCCTGTTGAGGAAGTCCCTGTTGAAGAAGCCAGCCAGGACTCCGCTGTTCTTTCTGCTGATGGTTACAAGTACAAGACTGTCCGTCGCCTGAAGTACCGACAGCGCCGTGATGTGTCTGAGATCGCCAACGAGTACCTGCCCCCACCGAGGAGGTTGTTGCCGACGCCCCTGTTGAGGAAGTCCCTGTTGAAGAAGCCAGCCAGGACTCCGCTGTTCTTTCTGCTGATGGTTACAAGTACAAGACTGTCCGTCGCCTGAAGTACCGACAGCGCCGTGATGTGTCTGAGATCGCCAACGAGTACCTGCCCCCATCTGAGGAGGCTGCCACCGAGACTCCCATTGAGGAAGCTCCCGTCGAGGAAGCTAGCCAGGATTCCGCTGTTCTTGCTGCCGATGGTTACCAGTACAAGACTGTCCGTCGCCTGAAGTACCGCCAGCGCCGTGATGTCTCTGAGATCGCCAACGAGTACCTGCCCCCCACCGAGGAGGTTGTTGCCGACGCCCCTGTTGAGGAAGTCCCTGTTGAAGAAGCCAGCCAGGATTCCGCTGTTCTTGCTGCCGATGGTTACCAGTACAAGACTGTCCGTCGCCTGAAGTACCGACAGCGCCGTGATGTCTCTGAGATCGCCAACGAGTACCTGCCCCCCACCGAGGAGGTTGTTGCCGACGCCCCTGTTGAGGAAGTCCCTGTTGAAGAAGCCAGCCAGGACTCCGCTGTTCTTTCTGCTGATGGTTACAAGTACAAGACTGTCCGTCGCCTGAAGTACCGACAGCGCCGTGATGTGTCTGAGATCGCCAACGAGTACCTGCCCCCATCTGAGGAGGCTGCCACCGAGACTCCCATTGAGGAAGCTCCCGTCGAGGAAGCTAGCCAGGATTCCGCTGTTCTTGCTGCCGATGGTTACCAGTACAAGACTGTCCGTCGCCTGAAGTACCGCCAGCGCCGTGATGTCTCTGAGATCGCCAACGAGTACCTGCCCCCCACCGAGGAGGTTGTTGCCGACGCCCCTGTTGAGGAAGTCCCTGTTGAAGAAGCCAGCCAGGATTCCGCTGTTCTTGCTGCCGATGGTTACCAGTACAAGACTGTCCGTCGCCTGAAGTACCGCCAACGCCGTGATGTCTCCGAAATCGCCAGCGAGTACCTGCCTCCCACTGAGGAAGTGGCCGCTGCTGCCGACCCCGTCGAGGAAGTTGCCCAAGACTCCGCCGTGCTTGGTGATGAGGGATACCGCTACAAGACTGTCCGCCGCCTGAAGCTGCGCCACCGCCGTGCTCTGTAAGTGGGGGTGCCTGTGGCTGTATCTTCTTTCGAATTTGTACCTGATCTGCCCGCTCACGATTGTAGCACCCAACCTACTAGGACATAAGTTTTTCTATTATTTAACGATTGAAATCAGCGAATAAATCCAACAAAAATTGTTATACCATAATCTAGAGCTCTATGGTAGTCCACGGGAAAATGCTTACCTGTTGGGAGCGGAAGCCGGACTCGATTCCATAAATTGTGCACCTTTTCGCTTAGTTATGACAGCAACAGTTAAGCTCATGGCTCAGCGCACAAGAACGCAATTATCCAAAAAGGTCGGAGAACGGGATGAGGTGAAGGGTCAGACTGCTGGCCAGGACTCGACTCGACCGGATCCCGGCCAGGTCACAGGTCCTGGCACCTTGCTCGTAACCAGCGCAACTTCGGCGAACTCTAGCAAATACTTTAAGCTATGCTTTTGAAGATGTTAATCTCATGTCAAGTCCACTTTACACACAACGCCAAGGGTCTGCCCTGGTTGCCACCGTAGTCTTCCCATCCTCTGGCCCTCCCGCCAGGAACAAAGTCACCCATTGATTTGTGAGAATGTGTGTGGGTGTGGGACGTTGTTTGGTGTTGGCAGCAGCGAGCAAAAAAAGTTGTTAAGTTAAAAGGCATTTGAACCGCAGCGAGTCAAGGATTTCGGCCAGGATCTAACAACTTCCTTTGCACGCGCCTCCAACAAGCGGTCGGGGGAAAGGGGCGGGACCGTTGGACCGACCAACTAATAATAATTTATCGATCCCCTAGCCCAAGCAGTCGCATACGTGGGTCGCCCTATGATTTATGGCAGTCAGGGACTCGGGCTCGGGAGGGCGTATCCGAAAAAAGGACGAAAAGGAGGTGGAGCCGGGCAGGACCTGGCAAACAGCAAGGTGCCAGACTGGCGGCCAGCGCAGTGCCAAATTGGTTTAATGTGTGGTTAGACAACTTATTTAACGTTTTCAAGTGGTTAGCGCCCACACAATCTCGCCTGCCAGATGTGGAGCAGGGACACCCGTCAGCGATATTACTTGATTCGGCTTTATTCGGCCACTCAGGTGGTCCGGTTCTCATTGCCCGGGGTCAGGTAGTGGGTCTCCTACACTACAAAATAATGTACAAGCTAGTTGAGGGAAATACTAGCGAAATCTTGAAAGATTAATATCAGTAACATGCTTTATTTTTAACCTTATTATCATGATTATTCTATAAATAAATTTAAGCTTAAAAAACAATAGTTTTAAATACATACTCAATAAAATTGTTTTTTTGACTGTGAACCATTTTGTTGCCTTTCTGCGTCGTTTGGGCACATAAATCATACAATGCCGTTATTTACTCTTTTGTCGAGCGGCAAACTGGTTACGTATGCCACTATCTGTGGTATCTACAAGTGCACAGCCCCCGGGCTGACGCCACCACTCTGGGGACTGGGCAACGGCTCACAAATCTCTGGAGAAGAGGGGCTGTGGGGCAGCATAAATCAGTTGGAGCCATTTTGTAAGCACGCCATCATGCCGAAATTATGACATCATTAAAACAATTATCTGCGCTAAATTATACGATCTGATAACTCCAGACAGAACCCACATCCAGCTATAGTTTCATTTTTTGGGGGGCAAATCACATAAAAATTTTATGAATTATTTCAAATATTTTCAATTACCAAGGGTTCGAGCTGCGGAGGACCGCATGAATAGATTTATGCTCCACTCGAGCATGGCACATTAACAGGACATTCCAAGGAGCAGCGGCTGTAATGAAAGTGAAATTATGGCCTTCGACCCTGACCCGATGGCAACTGCCTGGAAATTTTAGCTTGATTAAAATTCAAAAAGTTCATGTGACTGCCGGCCATAATTTATCATTTAATGGCCTCTCATTACTGAAGTGGGTGTAATTTGTTGATCCAACAGTCTAGCTGAAATCAATTTTTGTCACTTATTGGCTTGTTTTTGTTGGTTATAAAAAAAGGGTAAGGGGTTCCAGGAAACACTATAATGACATCAGCTAGCGAGGAAAAAAGAGCTTCCATTAAACTGAAAGGAAGGATTTCACAAGTTGCATGGCTCAAGCATGGCCCTTCCTTTCACCAAAATATTATTTGGATAACCATTTTTTTCTCTGCAGGGACATGGACATGGACATGGCTATATCTCTGACTGTGTGGTAAACATGGTGCAGCAACTTTATGACCACAATATAATTTATTCAATGCCATTTGGCCGTCTCCCCCGGCGGAGGCCAAGGCGGGGGAGCAAGACAAGCAATTGACATTTTTGTGACTTTTGAAAACTATAAAATGTGCAGCTCGGAACATGGCAAATGGCGAACAAGCCAAGGCGAGAGCATAATGTTGACGGGCATAAAGACCGCACCACAGACAGCTGTATGTATGTATAAGCATGTGGAGCTGAGCCGGGCATAAAAATAACCCCAGTGCCCCTTCAACCCACAGACCCCCCAGTTGCTGGGGCGAAATAATAAAGTTGCGCTTGATTATGTGTCTCACTGCTGGTGTTGCTGGGGCTTCGGCTTTTGCTCGGACACAAAGAAGTAAACACAAATACGCCGGCAACTAGACTAAAATTGTCAGAGTCGTGTGTGGCAGGACTTACAGGACATTACACGTCCGACCACGAAGATCTGATGGCCACAGGACCTTGGCCATTTGTCCAGCTCGTCAACGAACAGGGACAACAAAACCAGCACTAACAACAGCCAAGAGCCAAGCCAGCAACAAAAGTGAGAAGCGTATGCCGGATATCCTTTTTGACATGTCATTAAATTTTATATACACAATAATTTTTCACAATTTGCTTTATGGTCATTTTAAGAGCCTGTCCCGAGTTGAAAATTCTCCACACATCTCCGGGAACATCGACACCCTGATATAGGTTGAGACAATGACAACAACAGCAATGTACACTCGGTGTATATGAATGTGATACACCATGGTAGAGGCGTATCAAATGCTAGGAAAATACTTGGAGTTTCCCTCGGGCCGACCGGTGAATATGATGGATGGACATGGGCCAAGTGCTTGGGGTCAAACAAGTGAGATGGAATCGGTATAAAATTGGTTTGGAATATTCAATCATTCCGGGCGAGCTTAAGTCCTGTTTCAGCTGCTGCTAAATTGAAAATTATTTGTGTTTCCTTAATGAATTGATGTTGTAGCGCTTTGCATAAATAATGCGGAGAAGAAGGCTTCATTTGGCATTCCTTTAAATGTTCTTTGTTACCGTTTGGGAGACCAAGAAAACTAATCAAGATTATTGCTACTTGCTCGGGATTAGGCATTCGTTCCTCTAATATTTTGCACAGGAAACAAATTATTGGGCATCTTCCTCAAGACCTTTCGAGATTAAAATCTGAAAAATAATTTAATAGATACTTAAACTTTTTCGCCATGTGTATCCTTGATCCCATCACACAAATGATAGAACTTCGGTCTGGCATTTTAGAAATTAACGCTCCCAGTAGTTCTGCTATTCGGAAACGCACTATATGATTATTTGTAATAATCTTCTTGCCGAAGGAAACTTTCAACCGCAAAACGATTATTGCAGCAAACTCTCTCACTCTACCACAAGAGCCGAGCCGAGGAGTATCCAAAGGACACTTGCCCGTGCAGTATAATTTTACGGCCATTAACTATTATTTCAAAATCGAACAGAGCCGCACTCCAAGCTAAGCCTTTGTTTGCTTGTGTCCGGTTCTCCTAGATTGCTGAAATTATAGCTTTTATTATGATACACTGAAGTCCGGGTCAAGTACTGGTGCTGTTAAATTGGCTTTAGGTGGTATTATGGAGCACCGAAACGAATCGAGTCGAATCGATAGCACAAGGGGAAGAAAAACAGTCAAATAGACAGACAATCCAGACAGAATGCAAAGTGAACTTGAAGCGAGATTTCAGACAAGAGGGAGAACCTGCAGTTCCTGTCTCTTATCCACTCCCCTTCGTCCTTTCCCCAGTTAGCCATATGTGAATGTCAACCATAGCCAAGTCACTTTCTGGCAATAAAGGAAATCTTCTTACAAAACATTCGCTTAAGTTTATTCAAACA